ATCGGCTCAGCCCTACGGAGCTGACCGACATGAAAAAACAAATCGAGTATCTCCTAGCTAAAGGACTCATCCGACCATCCACGTCACCATACGGTGCCCCAGTACTCTTCACACCAAAACCGGACGGAAGCCTGCGCATGTGCATCGACTACCGAGCTCTTAACAAGCAGACCATCAAGAATAAATATCCGATACCGCGAATCGATGACCTGCTTGACCAGCTTCGGGGAGCTACGGTATTTTCCAAACTGGATCTGCGGTCCGGATACTGGCAGATACGGATGGCGGACAACTCTATCCACAAAACAGCTTTCCGAACTCGGTATGGATCGTACGAGTATTTGGTAATGCCATTCGGACTCACCAACGCACCGGCAACATTCCAAGCCGAAATGAACCACATTCTCCGACCACTTTTGGACGAGTGCGTGGTGGTGTACCTGGACGACATCCTCATCTACTCGCGCGACATGAAACAGCACGTCGAACACCTGCGACGCGTCTTCGAAATTCTGCGACGATAACTATTCTACGTCAAACAGTCCAAGAGCGAATTCGCCCTCAAGAAGGTCCAGTTCCTAGGACACATGGTGAGCGCTCAAGGAGTTCACGTCGACCCCAAGAAAATCGAGGCCGTACGTACGTGGAAGACACCCGAGAACGTGAAGGAGTTGCAGCAGTTCCTAGCCTTCGCGAATTATTACAACAGGTTCGTGCCACAGTATGCGAAACTAGCAGCACCACTCACGAATCTGCTGAAGAAGAATACGCCCTAGAAATGGGAATCAAAACACCAGGAAGCCGTGGAGCAGCTGAAACAAGCACTCACGATCGCCCCGGTACTCATCTTGCCAGATCCCGAACGAGACTACGTAATCGAAGCTGACGCCAGCGACCAGGCAATAGGAGCAGTCTTGATGCAAGACCAGGGGAACGGACTACAACCAATCGCCTACCTCAGCAAGAAGTTGCACGGGGCAGAACTCAACTACCCGATGCACGAGAAAGAGGCCCTTGCCATTGTCATCGCCTTCAAAGCGTGGAGATGTTATCTCGAAGGACGAAGAACAACCGTCTACACCGACCACTGCAGCCTGAAATACTTGAAGACACAACCCAATCTTTCCAGGCGGCATGTCCGGTGGATCGACTTCCTCGAGACACACTTCCACTACGACATCGTGTACAAGCCCGGCCACAAAAACAAAGCAGACGCTCTCAGCCGGTCTGCACACATTGCCGCTGTTCAAGTTGAAGGGATGAATCCACTACTCAAGGGACTCTTCACACACGGGTACGTCATCGACCCCGAAATTCCCTTGGCAGAAAAGCAACATCTGCTACAGTGGGACAGTGACATCGCGTACCGGAAATGATCAACGAAAATCTGGGTACCCAATTACCCTCCTTTGCGCCAGTTACTACTCGAAGAATACCACGACGTCCTCTACGCCGGACACTTCGGTAGCAACAAGACGCTCACCGGTATCGCCAAACACTACTACTGGCCCCACTTAGCAGAATACGTCCATAAATTCGTCACCTCGTGTGATACATGTCAGCGTATGAAGAGTAGCAAGCAGAAAAAGGCGGGACTACTGCAGCCTCTTCATGTCCGAGAACAACCATGGCAAGTGGTTAGCCTGGACTTCATCACCGGGTTACCACCTACCACCAGTGGTCATGACGCAATCCTTGTCGTCATCGACAAGTTCTCCAAGATGGGACACTTCATCCCGACACACACGACGGCACGCACCGAGGAGACAACACAACTCTTCGTTCGTTACATCATCTCACAGCATGGCATCCCAACCATACTCATCTCCGACCGAGACCCTAAGTTCACCAGCAAGTTCTGGAAGGAACTTATGTCTCTCCTCGGGACCAAACTCGCCATGTCATCTGCTTACCATCCGTAGACAGACGGACAGACCGAGCGCCTCAATCAAATTGTTGAGCAACTCCTCCGAGCAGCCTGCAAGGACGAGATCTCCAAATGGGACCTGCACCTGCCTGTACTAGAGTTTGCTTACAACAATGCTACACATGCCGCTACGGGACAGACGCCGTTCTTCCTCAGCTACGGACGCCACCCACTCACACCACAGAAACCGACCACATCCGTTACAGTACAACCTGTACATGATTTCATCACAACCATGCATCAGCTTTGGGATCGGACCCAAGTAGCGCTCACCTCGCGGTCCGGGGACGGGGGCAGGGCCCCAAACGTCCAGGTGCAGGGTCTGAGGGGGGGCAGTAGCAGGGCGCAGCGAGGAGGAGTGAGGAGCACGGCGGAGCCGGCCCTCGACGCAAGGCGTGCACGGTGGCGCAGTCGAGGGAGGAAGGGCAGGGAGCGACGCAGGGAGACCTAAGACAAGACCATGCTGGGACATGTGACGCAGACGTGGGAGAGCATGGTGACCTAGGCGGTGGTGCCAGAGAAGGGACGGGTGAGTGAGGGACCGACACGAGCAAGCTGCAGCGACCTGGGAGGACGCACCAACCGGGGGGGAAGCGGTGTCGAGGGTAAACAGACCGGACACCGGTTCCCGGGGGAACGTCGCAAGGGGGGAACCTGACACAGCCTCAGAATAGACAGCGAACCGCTCGTGCCCGGGGAACGTGGTGGTGACGCCGAGGTCCTGGAGACAGCCGACACCAACCAGGTTCCTCGAGAACGAGGGAACGTGGAGGCCTGTAAGGGAGCCCGAGGGAACTGCTGGACAAGGAAGGGACGTAGAGCTGCAAGCAATGACAGGACCCGCAGAGGGGTCAGCGAGAGAGACAACAGCAGGCATAGCAAGCGGCGTGAGCGCGGAACGGTCGCGGAAGAAGCAAGCAGAAGCACCGGAGTCGAGAGTGAAGGACAGCAAAGCTGTGGCGGAGGCCGGGAACGGAGCCGGTGCAGAGACTAGGCTAGGCAAACTAGGCAGTCCTACGCCTGACGCAGCAGGGGAGGCTAAGCTACACAATGGTGCAACACCTAAACTAGAGTACACTGGGTAATAAGATCCAGCAACACTAGAAGCGTCAGAATACAAGGCATACAAAGTAGCACCTATCTGATCCATGTCTAACTCAAAGATCGGCACGCCCTGGCGGAGCAGGCTGTGCCAGTCGGGGAGGTCCGGGGCCGGGCCAAAGCGACGACGAAAGAGATCGTCGAGGCGGCGGAAACAGCGGGCAGTCGGGTGCGGGCGGCGGTACAGAGTGCCGCGAAGAGGCCCGGTCTGAAGCTGGTACTGGCAAGTGACAGCACCGGAGCCGCCGGTAGACACCGAGCTGCGCGGGCCGCCACCACGGCCACTACCTCCGGAGGTGCCGGGCCAACCAGGTGGGAGACGGGCCCACGGCTGCGGCGGCTGCTGCTGGGACGGCGGCTGCTGCTGGGGCTGCTCCTGCTGCGGCTGGGGCTGCTGCTCCTGCCCACCGGTGGTAGTCCCCTCAAGCGGACTACCGTCACCACCACCACGACCACCACCCCTACCTCCCTGGCGACCACGGCCACAGCGGCGCGAGCGCTGCTGCGGGTGGACCGCAGTAGCCGTCTCAGTGAGAGGGGTCGCCGTGGCGACCGCAGCCGAAACGTCAGTTAACGTGCACTGGGAGGGGGCACAGCCGTGAAAGATAGAGACTGCCGGCGCACCGCTCGACTGAGCGATAGTGCGCTGGCGAGTCTCGATCTCGGTGAGGGTGTCGACAAAGGCGGTGAGGGTGAGGTCACCCAGGTGCTGGCTAAGGAAGTGATCGCGAGCACTAGCGAGGCGGTCCGGCAGGCGCATGGCGATAAAATAGAGCGTCATGCAAAAAGGGGGGGGGAGCACAGTGAGCTGGGCAGCAGTGCTGTCAGTGCGATAGCGGGTCTCTAGGGCACGCAGGTGAGTGGCAAAGTTTGCGACGGTAGGGAAGGCTGCAAGGTCTGGGAACAACATTGGAAAGAGCAAGCGGCCAGCAGAAGCAGACGCGGGTGTGGAATAGCGAGCAATAACGGTGTCTAAGTAGGGTTTGGCCGTCTCAATAGTAGCAAAACGCGAACGCTCAGACACAGGGAGGGCGTGGCAAATAGCAACCTGAGCGGCTGCATCGCGGGAGTCCCAGACCGCACAGGCAAGCGCAGCAGTAGAGAAGGTCTCACGGTCATTAGAGGAGGGGTCAGCAGGGAGGGGAGCAGGTGCGGGGGGGCGAGGGAGCAGTGCGACGGGACTAGGAGGCACGACGGGGCCCAGGAGGGGCGCGACGGGGCTAGGAGGCGCGGCAGGGCCCAAGAGGGGCGCGACGGGGCTAGGAGGCGCGACGGGGCCCAGGAGGGGCGCGAAGGGGCTAGGAGGCGCGACGGGGCCCAGGAGGGGCACGACGGGGCCAGGCGGGCGCGACGAGGCCAGGCAGGGCGCGACGGGGCCTAGCGGGCGCGATGGAGCCTAGGAGGCACGACGGGGCCCAGGAGGGGCGCGACGGGGCTAGGAGGCGCGGTAGGGCCCAGAAGGGGCGCGGCGGGGCTAGGAGACGCGACGGGGCTAGGAGGCGCGACGGGGCCCAGGGGGGATGCGGCGGGGCCTAGCTAGGGTATGGGCGGAAGTGGTAGGTGGGGGATTCTAACCTATGTGTGATACCATGTTAAAGTAAGAACTGAATGATCAACTAGAAGGAGAAACCTAGAACAAATACTAATTGGTTGTACTCACTAGAAGCATACCCCAGTCTAGCCTATAACTTCTACATAGCTAATATGTATAAGTTGACAATCACTATATGCACCTTGTATATCTTTGCTATAATCATTTCTGTTAAGTTACATTCACTCTGACAGAGTTCTCGACCAATCAAACGTTTCCGCAAAGCACGCACCGTGTGTTCAATCCTGATGATCCTACGGCACGCGTCCAATCTCTTCACACCTGACTCCGCATTTTCACGTTGCTTGCGTAGGGCACAGAACATAACATTGATTGCATAGGCGTATATGGTAACCTTCTAAAAACATTGATGGCATAGGCATATATGGTAACCTTCTAAACTAGTACACCTACCTTACCTAAGAATGGTTAAACCATGGATCCCCCAACACTGATGGTTTCGGGCGGTTCAACCCAAACCCTCAGTATTGCACCGCATTGCATGAACGAGCTCAGGCTTTAAGAACCAGCGCAGCTCCTTCAGTGGGGTGGGGTGAGGTGGGTTGGGTGGGTTGTAAGATGGTGAAGGATTTGCCGCTACGCCTCCTGGTGCTGCTGCTACTGCTTTCTGTGCTGCTCCGCATAAGTACCGATGGGTGCAGCAGCGCCAGAGAAATCCCACACGCAGTAAGAGGAGCATTAGAAGCAGGCGGGGCAGGAGGAGCAGGCAGAGCAGCAGGAGCAAGTGCAGGGCAGGAAGTTGCAGCAGTAAGGGACTGATGAGTGGATTCAAGAGGCATGGCGGCCCAAGGGGTGTTCATTCGTACTAGTAGTGCCAGGGGGAGCAGCAGGCGCAGGAGGAGCAGGAGGAGGAGGGAAGGCAGGAGGAGCAGGAGGAGGAGGAGGGAAGGCAGGAGGAGCAGGAGGAGGAGGGGAGGCAGGAGGTGCAGGTGGGGGAGCAGCAGCAGCAAGTGGCTTCTGAGTCGACTCAAACGGCATGGCACCCAAGCGATTCTCACCCGGACTGGTAGAGACGGGAGGTGCAGGGGCAGTGGGGGACGTTGCAGTGGAAGGTGGAGGGGGGGGAGGAGGAGAAGGACGGGGAGGAGGGGCAGCGGCACTAGCAGGAGGAGCCAAGTTACGGCTGCTAATGGTGGTGGTGGAGGTGGAAACATCTGCAATAGTAGCAACACCACCACCACCAGCATCAGCAGCACCAGGAGCACCACCACCACCAGAAGCAGCACCACCAGCAGCAGGCGCTACAGAAACACTTGCACCACCTGCTGCTGCTGCCGCTGCTGCTTGCACCAGCGCTTGCACCTGAGCATGCGCCTGGGCAGCAGCCTGCGCCTGTATGTGCGCCGCTGCTGCTGCCACGCCCCACTGCTGTGCTATGGCTGCTGCATCAGCTGCTGCTGCTGCAACCGTGGCTGTTGATGGCTGGGGGAGGGGCGGAATGAAAGAGAGGGGGAGGGAGAAGGGTGATGGGAAGGCGATCGGGAGGGTGCTGCTGGTGGGGAATGGTGATGGGAAGGTGAGACTAGCTGTTGGAGGGGGTAACGGCCCCAAAGCTGCTGCTGCTGCTGTTGGTACTGTTGTTGTTGCTGCTGGTGTTGTTGGTAGTGCTGTTGTTGCTGCTGATGTTGTTGGTACCGTCGTTGCAGCTGTTGCTGCTGCTGCTGGTACTGTTGACGCTGCTGCCGCTGTTGCTGCTGTGGCGCCACCTGCCTTTACCGTCCTTCTAGGCTTGCTGGAGAAAGGGGAGTAAGGGCAAGAAGGGGGAGACAGGCGGAAAAACGAAATGGTTTATCAACACAAGGGTTTATCAACACAAGGGTTTATCAACAGAAGAGTTTATCAACATAAGGGTTTATTAACACAAGGGTATATCAACAGAAGAGTTTATCAAGAGAAGGGTTTATGAATGACACAAAGATGACAGGCGCATGCACCGCTCAAGAGGATTCAGGGACATTAAACAGATGCTGCACACACATCAAGCCTGTGCCTCACTTACCCGCCTCTGCCACTCGATTTTGCCACAGTATACACACAAGCGCCAGCAGCACCGGCAGCACCAGCAGCACCAGCAGCAACACCGGCAGCAGAAGCAGCAGCAGGGGCAGAACCCGCAGCAGAGGCGTGCTTGACAGGAGGGGGCGCCAGAGAAACACGTGCTCCAGAGGCAGTAGCAAGGCTGGCAATAGAAGCGGTGCCCCTAGCTTCTGCCCTCCCATGTGCTGCAGCGTTAACTGCTAAAGATGCATCCCCCTCTGACTCCGGTGCTGCTGCTGCTGCTGCTGCTGCTGCTGCTGCTGCTGCTGGTAGAGGTGACACGCACTGCTGTCTTTTTCTCTTTACCTCTCTTTGCCCGCCTTCCTCAAATCCCGATCCCCCCCGACCATTCCTACCACCCCCTTCTTCCCCCCCCTCTTGCCTCTCTCGGCTGGGGGGTCTGCGTCGATCCCTCCGTCTGCTTCCATTCCTTCCTCTGCCTCTGCTCCTTCTTCTCGCACGTGCCTCCGCCTCTGCACGTGTCTGCGCCTCTGCACGTGTCTGCGCCTCTGCACGTGTCTGCGCCTCTGCACGTGTCTGCGCCTCTGCACGTGTCTGCGCCTCTGCACGTGTCTGCGCCTCTGCACGTGTCTGCGCCTCTGCACGTGCCTCCTTCTCTGCACATGCCAATGCGTCGCTGCCTTCATCCCCACTATACCGCTCCCTGCCTCCACTGCCCTCCTCGCTCGCAGTATCACCACAATTATCACCCCCATTATCACCTCCACTCCCCCCATCATCCCCCCCATTATCCCCTCTTCTCCCTTCATCCCCACCGCTCTCCCCACCACCATACCCTCCATCACCACCATTCCTCCCTCCTACCTCTCGCCAAACCCCTACCCCTCGCCCATGCCCCACAATACCCCCGTGCCGTGTACCGTCCATGTCCCGCCCACCGCCCTCCTCGCCCCCTTCTATCATCCCATTCAGGTCAATCCACGCATGCCCCACACCATGCATCCCCACCCCTTCCATCCTCCCTTCCCCTTCCATCCCTCCTACCCCTCTCACCCTCCCTTCCTTTCCCATCCCCCCCACCCCTCCCACCCTATTCCTCACTCCAATCCCCTCCCTCACTCCCATCCTCAACCCCCCATCTCCGAACACCAGCTCGACCTCCCTCCATCCGTCTCCACTCTCCTCCTCCCTCGGCGCCCTTCTCTTTTCCCTGAACCCCACTCCACCTTCCTCTCTTCCCCGCTCTCCCCAATCCCCTATTTCCACTCCCCCTCCCTCTCTAACCACTCCCCCGCCCTCCGTTTCCCCTTCAACGGCACCTCTCCCCTCTGTTATCCCCTCTGCCCTCCCCTCAGCTCTCCCCTCTGCTCTCCCCTCCGCTCTACCCTCTGCCCTCCCCTCTGCCCTCCCCTCCGCCCTCCCCTCCGCTCTCCCCTCTGCCTTCCCCTCTGCTCTCCCCTCCGCCCTCCCCTCCGCCCTCTGCCGCTTCCTACTCCTCCTACTCCCCCAGCATCGGCTGCCAGCCCAATTCTCTGTGCCTCTCCGGAATTCCCCACCACTCCCACTCCCATCCCCCCTCTCAATCCCACCCCCTCTCTCACTCCCACCCCCTCTCTCACTCCCACCCCCTCTCTCACTCCCACCCCCTCTCTCACTCCCACCCCCTCTCTCACTCCCACCCCCTCTCTCACTCCCACCCCCTCTCTCACTCCCACCCCCTCTCTCACTCCCACCCCCTCTCTCATTCCCACCCCCTCTCTCACTCCTACCCCTTCCCTCACTTCCGTCCTTGCTGGCTGATCCCCCCCTTGTGGACGCTACATCCACCCCTTCGCTCCCCTCCTTTCCATGACTCTCCTCTCTCCCCTTGCTCCTGTATCTTCCCTCCCCCCCTTCAGTCCTTGTTCTCTCCTCCTCCGAATCTCTCTCCTCCGCTTCCCTCATCCCCGCTTCTCCCTTCTCCAACACGCCATCTGCACCCATTCGCACCGAGCTCAACTTCCTCAAGCCAATACTGCTGCCACCAGCACCAGCGCCAGCACCAGCACTAGCACCAGCACCAGCACCAGCAACAGCAGCACCAGCAGTGGCAGCAAGAGGAGGGTTAAGCGGAGTGGGAGGAGGAGGGTTGCCCTGCCTCTGACCCAAGCCGCTGGTACCCCCAACAGCAGCAGCAGAAGCAGTCACCATCGCAGTATCAGCAGCAGCATCAGCGGCCGGCGCTGCTGCATCAGCCGCATTGGCGGCAGAACCAGCAGCAGCAACACCACCACCACTAGCAGCATCAGCTGAGGTGCGCCCTCTGCTTCTCCCCACCATATCCACTGCAACAGGAGGTGAGACTGCAGCACCAGCAGCACCAGCAGCACCACCACCAGCACCAGCAGCAGCACCAGCAGCAGCACGAGCAGCGGCCTTGGATTCGAGGCGGCCCAGTTTCTCCTGCAGCCGTTCGATGTACCCGTACACCTCCGAGAGGAACGCTGCCGTGTTGCTCCGCGCGTGGTGCGGCACCAGCCGCTTCAGCGCGTCTATACTGCAACGCGAGAGGAAAAGGCGGGAGAGAGAAGCGCGAGAGAGAAAACCGGGGGGATGGAAACATGACGGAGGAAATGGGAGAAGGGTAGATTCTGAGGTAGTAGGGAGGCACAATATGTGCGGATCCGGGAGCTGTAGGCGCGCTGACCAACATGAGTAGTGCCAAAGAACTCATTTGGTAAGGTAATACGCCCTATGAGCGCCCTGTCACCAATGGGGTTCGCGCACTGGGTTACTGGGTTACTGGGTTACTAGGCAAACGGAAGCCGCCGCCATTCTTAAAGGGAGCGACTGTTACTAGCAGTAGCAGCAGCGAGCCAGTGACCAACTCTAAGGACTCTCGGAGAAAGGAATCAGGGAAGGGTGGGTGGAGATGCTAGGAGAGGGAGGAGGCGAGCCGCGCCGAGAAGAGGAAATACCTTTCGTTGATCCGCGCCCGTCGCCTCTGTTCCGCCTCCATGTGTTTCGCCGCGCACAGCCCCGTACGCGATCCCATTCCCCCGCCGCCCCCGCGCCCACCCCCCCCACCAACCCCGCCACTACCATCGCCCACTCCTCCGCTAGAGCCGACGATGATTCCCCCTCCCGCCGCTGCCGCCGTTGCTGCGGCCTGCTGCTGACCCGACGCCGCGGCGGCTGCGGCGGCAGCAGCGGCAAACATATGATTGCCGAGAAAAGCCATAGCGGGAGTCGCGGCGTAACATGCGGGATAGGCAACGTTCAGCGTGTAGCCAGCTGGCGTAGTAGCCGTGCCGATCGGCGGAAGACCGGGCGGGCTTGCCGCCGCGAGTGGCGCCGCGACCATCGGGACCATTGTGAGGGACGGTGCCAGCAGCGGCTGCGGCGCCGCCGTGGATTGCGGAGAGCCTCGCGGGGCAGGATGGCGGAACGGGGGGAGAGGGGAGCGCATGGGCGCGGCTCGCCTCTTTCAAAAGAGGCGGCGCACTGGTCCAGTAGTAGGATTATTAGCAGTTATGCCCTCGCGACGACTGAAGATGCGACTTGCCGCCCTCTGCAAGTTTCCCTTGTCCGTCCGTTTCTTGACGTCACGCCACACGTCTCGCCACGTCAGGTCAGGTCACGCGGCACGGTCCCACGTGCGGTGCTCGAAGAGTGGGCCCTCCCTTGCAACGTCAGGAGGAACTCAAATCTTGAAGCGTCACTAGTAGCACCACTACTACTGCTAGTAGTAGCAGTAGTAGGTCACCTACTACGGTAGTAGAGCGCTCGCGGGATGATAATATCTCGTAAAGCGCGCCCTCGTTGCTTCAATAGTCGGCAGAGCGCGGGATCTTGTTCGCAAGCGAAAGATAAGGACGTTGGCCTTGCGGCAATGCTGCGGACTCCGGCTCTCAGATCGTTTTGTTGCGATGATCCCGTACTTAGTATTGGATCAACCACGTGCGGACGGCGACAGCGACGACGAAAACCTTGCCTGGTTTCTGATTCGGTGGGAGGGGGCTAGCTTACTACGTCGCGTGAGAGACTCGAAGCTTGTCGAGGAACGCCCGACATTCCTAGCAGGTGTCGCCGCAGGGAACCTCGAGCATTGTCTGGTCTCATGTGACTTGTCGCTCGAGATCCCCTCGCTCGTGCATGCGTAGTACAACACAACCCCGCGCGGAACGTGTTCTATTCCATGCCCTTTCGTTCTATGCTTGGTTTGCGGGGCCGGGGGGGAGGAAAAACCCCGTTCTCAGCCCTCAAATCTCCTCGTGGCGCATGTTCTTCCTAGTCGCGCCGCGTTGACGCTGGTCTGGGAGGCAGGCTCGGAGAGGTTGGTCAGGCTTCGTTCGAGGTTCGCTTTCGTAGCCGAAGAGATGCCACTCCCCCATGACCCAGCTTCTCCTCCAATCAGAGTGGCAGAGAAGATCCTACGTGTTTCTAAATGACCCTTTGGACTTCGAAAGGTCAAGGGCCAAGGTGTGGGGCCCTTGCTCCCCCTGGTGGAGAGGAGAATCATTCTCCCCACCAGGCGGCCGCCACCCTCAGCTGCATTTGATTGGCTGGTTGAGCTGGAGGTCTGGGGGAGGGGAAGTTCGGCTTGGTTTCTGTGCAGTGAACCCAAGAACCCAAGAAGATAACAGCTATCGTCCCGCATTGACGAGGCTGTCCCACGTGGAAGAAAAGCCGACTGGCGCGCACCAATTTGTCGCACACCCAATCCACTTGCTGTACGTCCTGAGGGGGAATCTCTCCACGCGTGAAGGTCCTGTACAGACAGACCCATGTACAATGGTTTATTAGTTACATGAATAAGGCAAGTGCGCAACTCTTTGTCTTTAAGGGTGCACTTTACAGGAGTGTATTGACATTTCTAATTCATCTGTCGACTTTCGATATGATCGACCACTCGATACAATCGGCCGGTTCAAACCTTCGAACTGAATTGCTAGGGAAGAACCCTGGTAGCATTTTGAATTCTGCATTTGAAATTGAATCAAAAGCCGCACATGCGCTCCGGTGCCTCCCCCCCACGATTTTGGTTCATTGGCACCACACCAGCCACTCCCACCCAGGGCTAATTTTTCGTTTTCCAGGACCCAGCGGTCTCAGGATTCGCGTCACTAAATACCCTGAAAATTCAGCATTCCCAGGAAAATCTCTCTTTATTTCAGGATTACTTTGACCTTTCAATCTGAATTTCAGAGTGTTTTTAGGAACTCCCTACATTTAGGCGGAACCTGCGGGCACTTCGAGTACAAGCAGGACGTACATCCATGGAAGAAATGATGGAGAAGAATACAGAGTACACACTTGCTGCTGTTGCTTTCCCTCAGCACCACACCAAGTTCGACACTTTCCTTGTCAATCGCGACAGAAATGCGTAGAACTTAGAGAGACAGTGCGAAGCTGGGCTAAGGTGATATTAAGGGGTTGTGATAGTCTGAAAGCCCTGCACTTCTGTAGTTGTGAAAGCTCCACGGTCACACCTTCAGATTGTGGGGAAAATTGGTCAGGGCTGTAATGGGGGGGAGGGTAAGGTTACAATTCCGGCACGGGTAGGTTTCCATTCCAGTCGGATAGTCAGGATAATTTTTCGCGCAGTCCGGATTTCTCAGAGAGTTCCTGGGAAACGCCCGGAATCTGTCAGGAGGTTTGTGATTCCGAAACCCTCAAAATCAGGATTTCAGCGGGAAAGACCCGGAATGTACCTGACATTCCGGATGTTTACCCTTGAACCGAGAGCCCTCCCACCCATCTCCAGCTTCCTCCCCTGCTTGGTGAATTACCTCACCACCACCACCACCATATCACAGGCTGCCGCATTTTCTCCTTCAGAACTTTCTTTCTTTTCCACTCGACTACGCTCGAAGCAGCGGCCTCACTCCCGCTCCCTTCAGCTTTCCTTGTCCAAACTCCCATAGAAGCGTGCTCGACGAATGTACGGAGCTTGGTTCCATTCCTTTGCATCCTCGCCGTGCGCCGGAGTTTAGTACGCGTAGACCACTCCTCTTTGCCTCCCGCCATGACTGAAACGATCAGCGTTGATGACCCCAATGAGCTCCCAGCAGCTGGAAAGAGAGATTCGCCCGCCGAAGCCGATTCTTCCACTCCGTCCATTTTCCCCGACGGGTCTCCAGGCAAAAAATCCGCAGGCAGCGGCGACGCAAAGAACACGCCACCGGCGACTGCTGGACACCAGGAGACGGCCGGGAGCCCTGCTAGCGCCGTCCCACGGAGTCGAGCGAGCACCGGCCGGCAAGGACCGGGGGCCGGCAGCCGTCGCCGAGCAGGAGCCACCATGGCGGCAGCCGCACCCAGGACATCTCCCAGGCTGAGAAGCGAGGCAGACAATGGCGGGGATGAGAATAGCTCCCAGCCTTGCAGCCAACGGCGGTCGGGACGGTCACGCGCTGCTGGCCCGGGGAGCTACTACGAAGGCAGCGAGGACGGTAGCAGCGAGGACGGTAGCGACGATGGTAGCGAAGACGACAGTGACGGGGATGCGGATGGGAGCGATGGCGAATCGAAGAGCGCGGAGGAGGGTAGCGAAGACGGCGAGGACGAATCGGTCGAGGATGAGGAGGAGGAGGAGGAGGAGGAGGAGGCGAAGAGTGACGGCAACGAGAGTGACGGGATCAAGAAAGGGGACGAGACGAAGGATGAAGAGTCGAAGGATGAGGACGAGGAGGAAGTGTTGGAGATTTCGAGTGACGACGAGGTGGACATCGGTGGCGGGAAATCGCGGAGAAGGAGCAGCAGCGCGTGCCACCCCCCTGGAGATTCCACCAGAAAAGCCTCCGGAGATGCCCCCGGAAATGCTGCAGCGCTTAAGGGGAACTCGGCGCGCAGGCAGTCTCCGCGGCTGCGGAGCCATCCAGGCGCGGGCTCTCCCCCTGCGGAAGGCAAGCGCGGGGAGCAGGAGCGCGGAGACGAGGAGGGGATGGCGGCGGCGTCGCGCGGGCAGGTGCAGCGAGTTGCGAGCTCGCTTCCCGGCAGCAAGAAACTGACGAGGCGCGACTCCGGCGCCCTAGACTGTGCGACGGCGAGGAAAGTTGAAGGTCGCGCGGATGCTAAGGCGAACGAGAAAGAGGAAGAGGAGGAAGAAGAGGAGGAAGATGAGCCGGAAGATGAGGAGGAGGAGGAGGAGGAGGAGGAGGAGGAGGAGGAAGAAGAGGAGGAGGACGAGGAGGAAGAAGAGGAGGAGGAAGGCAAGCGCGGGCGGCAAAAGGGGGCCAGCAACTCTCCAGAACCGCAAGAAGGACGACGGAGATCGTCCCGTCTTCAGTCCATCGCCAACGGTGCTGATTCTCCCGCTTCTGCTGCTGCTGCTGCGGCTGCGGCTGCGGCGGCGGCTGCGGCGGAAGCGGCCGGGGTCTTACCAGCGTCGTCCAGAGCCAGGGCGCGCGAGCGGCGGAAGCAGCGCGCGGAGGAGGCGCGGGGGAACAAGGGCGGGTTGCGTAATAGCGCGGAGGCGACGAGGACCGAAGGAACGGCGAGCGCAAACGGAAATGAGAACGACGACTCGTGCTTGAAGCGGGAGACTACTATCGGGGATGTCGCGTGGCTGCTGTCGCGCCCGTGCGTGACGAAGCTCCCCGCAGCCGCGGAGAAGGTGCTGCTGGCGCGGCAACTCGCGCATCTAGCGGGGGACAACGCGCGGAAAGCAAGCGCAAGTAAAAATGCGGCGGCGGCGGCAGCAGAATCCGCAGAAGCAGCTGATCCGGTAGAACCAGCAGCAGCGGTGTCTGATGCGGTGCCGTCCGCGCCGCCGCCTGTTCTGCTGGTGAAGCTAGCGGGGCGGAGTTACCGCGATGTGGTGTGGATGGCGGAAAGGTTGCTGCAGGAGCAGTTCCCCCGCCTCCTCATGTCGTTCCGCCAGCGCTCCCCCGTCTCCTCCGCCGCGCGGGGCCCTGCCAAAGGCGCTCCTGTTGCTACAACCACACCTGTCGCTCATGCCGAACCTGCTGGCGCCGCGAGTGCCGAGCCGGATGAGCCGAACGCCGAGCCGGATGAGGTTGGGAAATCGTCGCCGCGTTTTGGCGGCGCTGACGTGGAGGTGGCTGCTGCTGACGCGGATTGGGCTCTTCCATTTGATCCTGACTACCTGCGCGTGGACCGCGTTATAAGCACGAAGAGAGGGCGGAAGAAGGACGAGGTGCGATACTTAGTTAAGTGGAAGGCGCTTCCGTACACGGCCGCCACGTGGGAGGACGAGAGCGCGCTTAGCGACGACGCGGACGACGTCCGGGCAGTCGAAAAGTTTCTGACGTTCTACGATAAAGGCGCGATGCGGCGGCGCGCTCCGGCGCCCGTGAAACGCGGAGAGCCGGCGTCGACGGGGGTGGCGTTCAAGAACGGGCGCACGCTCCGCGAGTACCAGGTGGCGGGCGTTGATTGGCTGTTCCGCAACTACGGCAAGGGCGTGAACTGTATTCTGGCGGACGAAATGGGGCTCGGGAAGACGATGCAGGTGCGGGGAACGCGGGGCAAAGGAAAGGAAGGGGGGGTCGGGAGAGGGCAAGTGGGGGGAAGGGTGGGGGGTTGGGGGGGCGGGGGGGAGGGGGAAGGGAGATTGATGGGGGATGGCGTGTCTGGCCTTAGGGCGTGGTGCTCTGAGTTCGGTCAAACTCCGTCCCTCCATTCCGAAATCCCTTAGTCGATCTCTCCCCGCTTCACACCACGCCCATCCGCGCCTCCCCTTCCGCATCCCTCTTCGTCTAATCCCCCCCATCGACTCACTCCCCCCCAAACCTCTTTTGGGGCGCCTCATAAGCTGTCTAAGTTCACACTACGCCCATCCGCGCCTTCGCGTCTGCATCCCTCTTCGTCGTCTAATCTCCCTCTTCCGCACAAACTCACTTTTCCCTAACCCTCCCCTCTTCCCACTCCCCGCTTTCCCACCATGCCAACCCTGCCACCCATCTCCCCCCAACCCCCCGACTCCACCCGACTCCGCGCAGTCCGTTGCGCTGTTGGAAACCATCCGCCTGCGCACGGGCGCGCGCGGGCCGTTCCTGGTGATCGCGCCGGTGTCCACGCTGCCGCACTGGCAGCGCGAGCTCGAGTCGCTCGCGTCGTCGGAGATTAACTGCGTGCCGTTCGTCGGGTCCAAGGATGACCGCGCGCTGATTCGCCAGTACGAGCTCGCGCTCCCCAGCGGCCGCGGCGTGCGCGCGCATGTGAGTTGCGGGGACGGGGGAGGACTGGGGGAAAGCGCGGACGAAGGGGAGAATGGGCTTAGATGGGGAGCGACAAGGGGGGAGTGGGGGGGGGAGGTAGGGAGGGAGGGAAAGGGGGAGGGAGGGGAGTGATGGTGGGAGGAGGGCGAATACAAGGGCTAGCATGCTTGTTGCTAGACTCATTGCTTCCACTGGGGCATCTGTTGAGATCACCTGGTGTTTCACCTGCGCGTTTCTGTGTGTCAGGTGGTGCTGACGAGCTTTGAGATCCTGCAGAAGGACCGCCGGCCCCTGAGGGACGTGCGGTGGGAGATGTGCATTGTGGACGAGGCTCACCGGTGAGAGCGGGAGATGAGAGGGATGAGAGGGATGAGAGGGATGGGTGAGGGCAGTGAGAGGATTGAGAGGATTGAGAGGAGTGAGAGGGTTAGGCCTAGAGGGCTCGCGGTAGAGGGACGTGCGGTGGGAGATGTGCGTCGTGAACGAGGCGCACCGATGAGCGCGGGCTGCGAGTAGAGGGCTAGGTGTAGAGGATTAGGTGTGAAAGAGCACAATAGCCAAGACCGCAGGGCCTAGCTATCACGGGGGGGGGAGGGGGTGTGGGGTGAAGGGGGGGGGGGGGGCTGCTGCTGCTGCTGCTGCTGCTCAACACCTGCTTCCTTCACTGGCGCTCTTCCCTCGTTCCCTGTCCTGTCTTCCGCTGCTTCCTGCCCCCCTGCACCCTTGCTCATTCCCTATCCCCACTCCCCCATTTCTCTGCCACAACCTTGCTACCCCGCAGCATGAAGAGCACAACGGCCAAGACCACAGCCGCGCTCAAAGACCTAAGCATCAGACGCGGCGGGCTGCTGCTGCTCACAGGCACGCCCGTGCAGAACAACACCCGCGAGCTCTTGTGCGTGAATAGGGTGGTGTGAGTGGGGTGGTGTGAAAGGGAAAGGGGTGTTGGAGAACACCCGCGAGCTCTTGTACTATTGAGGGCTTCAACGCTGGATATACCTGCGAACCTGCCGCATTCCAACACCTTTAGCAGAAGCAGTACTATTCTCCTCTCTCTGCCCCCTCTCCCTCCCCTTCTCCCCTCCCCAACCTCTATCCCTCACCCTCCCGACTTCCCCTCACCCGCTCTTTTCTCTCCCCCCTTCTCCCCCGCCCTCCCCCCTCTCCCCCACCCTCCCTCCCTCTCCCCCGCCCTCCCCCCTCTCCCCCACCCTCCACCCCACTCCCCCCTCCCTTTCCGCCACCCAGTGGCCTACTGAACGTCCTCGACCCAACGACGTTCGGCGACGAAGCCGACTTCCTGGGCAGGTTCGGCAACATCACCGACGCAGAGCAGGTTCGGGAGCTGCAGGAGGAGGTGCTTCGGCCGAGGCTGCTGCGGCGGATGAAGGAGGACGTGGAGAAGAGCTTGCCGCGCAAGGAGGAGGTGATCGTGTGGGTGGAGCTGACGCGCGACCAGTGCCGCTACTACCAGGCGCTCTACAGCAACCGCATCGGCGCGCTGCTGCAGGGCGCGTCCAACAAGAACCTGCCGAATCTCAGGAATCTGGTGAGGAGAGGGGAGGGGGAGGGGGGTGTGGGGGGAGGTGGGTGTGGGGGGAGGGGGGTGTGGGGGCGGTGTGGGGAGGTGGGAGTTGCATGTGGGGATGGGAAGTTGGTCTGTTGAGGGGGGTATGTGGGTACAGAGGCGGCATGTGGGGAAGGGGCAGGCTGCAAACACGAACCTACCGAATCTGTTTTTGAGAATTCTCAAGAACAAAAGACATCCGAGTCTGAGGAACCTGGTGGGGGGGGCACAGGGGGAGGGGGTGTGGGGGCGGGGGAGGTGTGGGGATAGGGGAGGGTGTGGGGGTGGGGGAGGGTGTGGGGGTGAGAAGTGTGTGACGAGGGGGGTATGTGGGTACAGGGGCGGCATGTGGGGAAGGGGGAGGCTGCGAGCAAGAACCTACCTAATCTGAGGAACCTGGTGAGGAGGGGACACAGGGGGGGTGGTGGGGGAGGTGTTTGACTGGGGAGGGCTGCACTGGGAGAGGCTGTCTGTGCAAGCCGTGCGAGGCGTGCCACCAGCCTTGTGTCAAAGTGCCTCAGACTGCCTCTCCTCTCCCCTTGCTTTCTCCGTGGCTTCCTTCCCTCTCTCCCTACGTACGATCTCAGGCAATGTAGTTGCTCAAGCTGTGAAACCGGCCTTGTGTCCAAGTGCTTAGTAATGCGTCTCCCCCTCGTTACTCCTTCCTCACTTCCCCTCGTGCTCTTTCCGTTTTTCCCCACTCCCCACGGGCGCTCTCAGGCCATGGAGCTGCGCAAGCTGTGCAACCACCCCTTCCTGTGCAACGGACTGGAGGAGGATATGGTGATGAAAGCAATTGCTGCTGCCACAGCCACAACTGCTGCCACTGCCGCTACTGCTGCTGCTACTGCTCCCCCTGTAGTGCAACCAGCACTAACAGCACCACCTGTTGTCTCTGCTGCTAATGCTGCTGATGCTGCTGGTGCTGATGGCGGGGTTATTGTGACTAGCGCACAAACAGCAGCAGCATCACCAGCAGCAGCAGCAGCAGCAGCAGTGGACCCCGAGGCACTGCGGCAGCGTGTGATGGTGCAGGGCAGCGGCAAGATGGTCCTGCTGGACAAGCTCTTGCCCAAGCTCAAATCCGCCGGCCACCGCGTCCTCATCTTCTCTCAAGTACGTACCGTACCGCTCTCAGCCCTTCCCCGTACCAACTTAACCCACTGGCGTTACCAGCCGTGGCAAGATGGTCCTGCTGGACAAGCTCCTGCCCAAGCGCAAATCGGCCGGCCACCGCGTCCTCATCTTCTCCCAGGTGCGCGCGCTGCTCTCAACCCCTCCCCCTCCCCCTACCCCTACCCCCCCTACCCCCTACCCCCTACCCCCTACCCCCTACCCGCTACCCCCTACCCCCTACCCCCTACCCCCTACCCCCTACCCCCTACCCGCTACCCCTACCCCCTACCCGCTACCCCTACCCGCTACCCCCTACCCGCTACCCCCTACCCGCTACCCCCTACCCGCTACCCCCTACCCGCTACCCCCTACCCGCTACCCCCTACCCGCTACCCCTACCCGCTACCCCCTACCCGCTACCCCTACCCCCTACCCGCTACCCCCTACCCCCTACCCGCTACCCCCTACCCCTACCCGCTACCCCCCCTACCCGCTACCCCCTACCCCTACCCGCTACCCCTACCCGCTACCCCCTACCCGCTACCCGCTACCCCCTACCCCCTACCCGCTACCCCTACCCGCTACCCCCTACCCCCTACCCGCTACCCCCTACCCCCTACCCGCTACCCGCTACCCCTACCCCCTACCCCTACCCGCTACCCCCTACCCCCTACCCCCTATCCCCTACCCCTACCCGCTACCCCCTACCCGCTACCCCCTACCCGCTACCCCCTACCCGCTACCCCCTACCCGCTACCCCTACCCCCTACCCCCTACCCCCTACCCCCTACCCCCTCCTGCTACCCCCTAATCCCTATCCCCTACCTTCTGAGGCGATTGCTTAGGCGCCTCTGAAGCCATCCGCGGGCCATGGCGTCCTCGTCTTCTCCCAGGTGCGCGCGCTGCTCTCATCCCCATCCTTACCCCCTACCGTCCTAACCCCACCCCCATACCCCCTCCTTCCTCTCCTCATGCGATTGCTTAGGCGCCTCCGAAGCAAACTTGGCAGGCCACTGCGTTGTCATCTATCTTTCCCTCCTCCCCTCCTCCACTATCTCACCTCCCCTTTCTCTCATCCCTCCTCTTTCGCTCCCCCCTCCTCCCTCCTCCCACCACCAGTTCGTGGTGATGCTGGACCTGCTGGAGGACTATCTCACCTCCCACCCTCCCACTCTCCCACCCTCCCACCTCCCATCCTCCCATCCTCCCCCCTTCTACCCTTCCCTCTCCTCCCTGCCGCCAGTTCGTGGTGATGCTGAACCTGCTAGAGGACTATCTCACTGCCAACGACCATCTCTCTTCTCTCGCTCCCGCTCCTCTCATCGCTCTTCTCCTGCTCTCTGCTCCCCCATCCCCCTCCCCCCCCCCCCCCCCCCCTCTCCTCCCTGCCATCAGTTCGTGGTGATGCTGGACCTGCTGGAGGACTATCTCACTGCCAACGGCCATCTCTATGAGCGGCTCGATGGCTCCATCAAGGGCGAGCAGCGACAGGTGCGCAAATAGGGGGCTGTGCGCATGTGGGGCTGTGCGCGTGTGGGGCTGTGCGCGTGTGGGGCTGTGCGCGTGTGGGGCTGTGCGCGTGTGGGGCTGTGCGCGTGTGGGGCTGTGCGCGTGTGGGGCTGTGCGCGTGTGTGGTGTCTGGCGAGGGGCGGGAGATGTCTGCGCGCCTGTGTCTGAGGCTCGATGGCTCCATCAAGGCCGAGCAGAGACAGGTTTGCACGCTTGTGGCTGTGCGCATGTCTGTGTGCATGTGCTGTGCGCATACCCTCCCTCTCATACCCTCCCTCTCATACCCTCCCTCTCATACCCTCCCTCTCATACCCTCCCTCTCATACCCTCCCTCTCATACCCTCCCTCTCATACCCTCCCTCTCATACCCTCCTTCCGAACTCACTTCCCCCTCCCACCCACCTCACCCATGCAGGCGGCCATAGACCGGTTCTCAGCGCCTGGCAGTGCGTCCTTTGTGTTCCTCCTCAGCACCAAGGCTGGCGGGCTCGGCATCACCCTCACCGCGGTACGGCCCCCACTCCCTTACCCCCTCACCCCACTCCCTAACCCCCCTCCCCCACTCCCTTACCCCCTCACTCCACCCCCTTACCCCCTCACTCCACTCCCTTACCCCCTCACTCCACCCCCTAACTTTATATTGAATCGCCTGACCCCTCAGCATCAAGGCCGGCGGGCCCGGCATCATCCTCACCGCTGTACGGCCCCCACTCCCTCGTCCCATCTAGACTGGAGCTGCTCTTTGAATTTCTCCTTTGTTGGTTCTGATTTGGCTGTCAACCTCACTCCACCCACTCCACCCACTTAAATGCCAAACTTGCTTGAACCCTCTCCCTCACTCCCCCCACCGCCAGGCGGACACGTGCATCATCTATGACTCGGACTGGAACCCTCACTTCCCTCCCCACCCACTCTTCTCACCTCTTCTCACCTCTTCTCACCTCTTCTCACCTCTCATCACCTCTCATAACCTCTCATCACCTCTCATCACCTCTCTTATTCCTCTCCTGCGCTCCCCCCACCGCCAGGCGGACACGTGCATCATCTATGACTCGGACTGGAACCCCCAGAACGACCTGCAGGCCATGGCACGTTGCCACAGGTGCGATGAGGGGTCAATAGTGTGTGCGTGGGATGGTGGGTTCGGGTATGGGCTTGCTGCCACGGGTATGGGCTCGCTGCCACGGTTTTGGGCTCGCTGCCACGGGTATGGGCTCGCTGCCACGGGTATGGGCTCGCTGCCACAGGTATAGGCTCGCTGCCACAGGTATGGGCTCGCTGCCACAGGTATGGGCTCACTGCCACGGGTATGGCCTGCCGTACCAGCACTACAGTGCGTGTTCCAGGTATCGTCATGCAACTAGCCTTGGTAGCGCAGGAACGTGCAGGCATACCGCCTCATAAGGTGGCTGTGGGCCGACTCAATCACCACCGCTCCCCTCCTCCCCCTCCTTTCCCCCCACCTCTCCCCCATCCAGCATCGGGCAGGTGTTTTACATTCACAGGTGTCGCCATACAGTTGCCGCCACGTATTGACACAATGGCACCTATTTGGTGTTCCATTGGCCTCCATTCCCCCCACCTCTCCCCCATCCAGCATCGGGCAGGGCAAAAGACATGAAGGAAGGCGTGCTGCCTCTTCTTCCCTCTTGCCAACCCCACACAACCCCCTCTCACCCCTTTTGAGCCAACTCGAAAACCCTCCTCTCCCCCACTTCCCCTCCCCCACAAATCCAGGATCGGGCAGAGCAAGGACGTGAAGGTGTACCGACTGATCACGCACCGCACATACGAGCAGCAGCTTTTCGATTGCGCCTCGCGCAAGTACGGGCTCGAAGAGGCCATCCTGGGCAGCTACCAGCCGCACAGGGGGGGCGGGGCAGCAGGGGGAGGAGCGGGGGGGAAAGGGGCAGAGGGGGCAGGGGGAGATGCGGGGGATGAGGGGGTTGGAGGGGAAGGAGGCACAACGGGGGGTGCGGGCGGGAGTAGTGGTGGTGGGGGTGGTGGGGTGGGCGGTGGGGTGGGTGGTGGTGGGGTGCCGCGGAATCCGGAGCAGGGGAAGGACATAGAGAGTCTGTTGCAGCACGGGGCGTACGAGCTGTTCAAGGACGAGGCGGCGGAGGACAGCGTGCGCTTCACCGCGGAGAACATCGACCAGATCCTGCAGCAGCGCACGCAGACACGCACCATAGGGGGGTGAGTGGGGCAGGGGGGGGGGGGGAGAGGGGAAGGGGAGGCGGGGGGCGGGGGGGGTTGAGAGAGACAGACATGCACCATTGGCGGGATGAGTGAGTGGTACTTGATGTCCGTTACTTTGAATATGAACTCAGAGATCAACGGAGAAGGAAGCTGTTGCTTCCTCCACCTTATGCGCTCTCCCTCGCGCTCTCTTCCCCTGCCTGCCCTCCCGCTGCCTCCTGCAGATCCGGTACAAGCACATTCTCTATTGTCAATTTCACAACTGAAGAGGCGGAAGATAACAGAGAGGAGAGTTTAGAAGACCTCGAGGGGGACAGGGGAAGTCCGGAGGGGGAGGGGAGTGGTAACGGGGGGGACGTAGAGGAGATTGGGCATGGTAAATGGGGTGGTGGGGGGAGCAGGACGCGTGGCAATCGCTCCTCGGCTCGGGCAGATGGGAATTCGACCAAGCAAGGGGCGGAGTTCTGGGAGGAATTGCTGCCCGAGGCATGCCGGGCAGCTCGGGCAGCTGCGAAGGAATCTCCGCTGGAGGGTTTAGTGCCACTGGCTCGAGAAGAGAGGAGGAGGAAGAGAGTGGTTTATGCAGAAGGGGGTGTGAGAAAGGGAGGAGGTGGAGGAGGGGGGAAGGGAAGGGGAGCAGGAAGGGGCGTGGAAGGGGGACTGAGGGAGAAGGGAAAGGAGGAGGAGGATGGGGAGAGTGGGGAGTTTGATAGTGGGGATGAGAGCAGCGGGGAGGAGGAGGGGGGGAGGAATGGGAAGGGAAGGAAGAGAGTGCGAACAGGAAAGGAGGATAGGTTGGTGGGACAGGATGGGGTATGGGAAGAGGAAGTAGGTGTGAGTGTGGGTGAGGATGGGGGAAGAAGTGTAGGGAGGAAGGCGAGGAAGGAAGGGCAGGGAGGGGTGGGAGGAGTGCGGGTATGGAGCGATGCGGAGCTGAAGCGGCTGGAGTGGAAAGTCTTCTTCTCGACAATGGAAGGAGGTGGGTAAAGGGGCAAGGAGAGGGGTCCTAAGTTCATGTCTTTTCTACAATGGAAGAGGTGGGGCCATGGAGGAGACAGTTCTGGGTAATGGCAGCTGCACCTGTCAATCTCTCCCTTCCACCTGCCGATGTGGTCCCTTCATCTCGCACTGCTCCCTCACACTCCTTCCCAACTCCTTCCCTCACGCCTTCCCTCCCTCCCTCCCTCCCTCCCTCTTGTCTCCTCCCCCTCCCCTCTCCGCTCCCCTCTCCCGTCCCTTCTCAACCAACCCATCCCACAGACGCGCTAAGGCAGGCGGCCAAGCTGCAGCAGCGCTCGGAGGAGGACGTGGCAGCAGCTCTAGTGCGCACCTACCACTGCGTTCACTCCCTCACCTCCCTCCCTGCCTCCCTGCTTCTCCCCTGCCTTCCCACCCAATCCCCCACAGATGCGCTAAGGCAGGCGGCCAAGCTGCAGCAGCGCTCGGAGGAGGACGTGGCAGCAGTGGCGGCAGCGCTGCTACACGCCTACCGCTGCGTTCACTCCTTGCCTGAAGTGGACAAACTCAGCTTGGACGTAGCACTGCGCGGCCAGAAGGCCCGCCCCCACCATAGGACGGTTGATTTCGCTCCTGGTACTGCTGGTTTTCATGCGGCCATGGCTGCTGCTGCTGCTGCTGCTGGTGCGGGTGAGGAGGAGGATAAGAGAACAGCAGAGGAGCTGTGGCCTGTGGATGCTGCAGGGGATAAGCTACCAGCAGCAGCACGAGCTGCCATGAGCACAGTGGCCTTCCGACTGCGATGTGTCAAGTCTGCAGAGAGGTGAGTGGGGTGAGAGGATGGGAGGGGAGGGGAGGAGCGGAGAGGAGAGAGGAGAGGAGAGTAGGAGGAAAGAGAATCGGGAAGAGGGTTTTGGGAAAGGAAGGGGGAAGGGCAAATGGGAGTAAAATAATGATCCAGGCTTTTGCAGCAAAATCGTGCTAAGTCCTGAGTGGGTCTCATCTCACACCATTCTTCCTTTCTCCACTTACCTTTCTAAACCCCTATCTCTACACCTCCCTACCCGCCCTCCTCACCTTCCCATTGATCAACGCCCGCGTTTGTCCCCTCTCCCCTCTCCCTTCTCCCCTCTCCGCTCTCCCCTCTCCCCTCTCCCCTCTCCCCTCTCCCCTCTCCCCTCTCCCCTCTCCCCTCTCCCCTCTCCCCTCTCCCCTCTCCCCTCTCCCCTCTCCCCTCTCCCCTCTCCCCTCTCCCCTCTCCCTTCTCCCCTCTCTCCTCTCCAGTCGTTTGCAAATGCATGGGGTGGTGAGAGCACTGGCAGCAGCAGTCACAACCAAGGCAGAGGGCTTCAAGCATCCCATTATCAATTCTACCATCTCCTCACCTCCCCTCCCCTCCCCTCCCCTCCCCTCCCCTCCCTCCCCTCCCCTCCCTCCCCTCCGCTCCCCCCCCCTCCCCTCCCTCCCCTCACCATCACTTTCCCCTCGCCAGTCGTCTGCAAATGCGTGCTGTGGTGCGAGTGCTGGCAGCAGCAGCAGCAGCCAAGCCAGAGGGGTTCGAGCATCCCACCATCACTGCCATCCTCGCCTCCCCTCTCCTCAAACGGTACGCACCGCCGTCTCTCTGACCGCCGTCTCTCTGACCGCCGTCTCTCTGACCGCCGTCTCTCTGACCGCCGTCTCTCTGACCGCCGTCTCTCTGACCGCCGTCTTTTGAGAAATATCAAAAATCACTGACCGCGTAAACCCCTAGATGCCTTCACACTGCTGGCTCGTGCTTCCCAGGTGACTTTGAGTCGACTCGAAAGCATCCCACCATCACGCCCATCCTCGCCTCCCCTCTCCTCAAACAGTACCCACCAGCATCTAGCCTCGTGCATACCTTCACACTTTCTGAGTCGACTCAAAAATCATCTGACCTCGTGGATTCCTTCACACTTTTCGCTGTGGTTCCTCTGTCTCGTGTTACTACTGCTGTTCCTCCTGCCCTGCCCTGCCCTGCCCTGCCACTCTCTTCGTCCTCCCCTCCCTCCCCTCCCTCCCCTCCCTCCCCTCCCTCCCCTCCCTCCCCTCCCTCCCCTCCCTACCCGCCCTCCCTCGCTGCTTTTCCTGTGTCACTGCTCCTCCTCCTCTTCCCTGTAGCCGCACTCACTCCCCTGCCTCTACCCTGCGCCTTCTTTCCCAATTGCCCCTTCTTTCCCTTCCGCCAGCTGGCGTTTGCCAACGTGGTGGGATGACGAGGCAGCTGTTGATTGGCTCAGGGCAACTGTGGAAATTGGATGCTCGCCTGCTGACATCACTGGACTCAGGTAGGCGGGAGGGGGGAGGGGGAGAGGGGAGAGGAGAAGGGCAGAGGAGAAGGGCAGAGGAGAAGGGGGCTTGTTGGGCCGGGGTTGGAGGGTGGGGGTTAGGGTAGCAGTGGAGATTGGATGCTCGCCCGCTGACATCACCAGACTCATGTAAGGCAGGAGGGGAGAGGAGGAGGGAAGGGGAAGGTGGGAAGTAGGGCTGGAGACGAGTGACGTCACCATGGGAAGGGGAGAGAGCATAGCTAGCAAATATATTAAAGCAAATATATTAAAGCGCTGCTACTGCAGTGCTGCTGCCTTACTGCTTCCATCCCCCTGCCTACTTCCTTTATCCGTCACTCTCTCTCCCTCACACATTACTTTCAGGACCGACCCCCACTTTGTGTTCACGTCTAAGTTTGATGCAGCCTATGCCAGCTGCGCTGTCAGAGAGGCACAGGTACTCCGATCCCTTTCTTCTTATCCCTTCTTATCCCTTCTTATCCCTTCTTATCCCTTCTTATCCCTTCTTATCCCTTCTTATCCCTTCTTATCCCTTCTTATCCCTTTCTTCCTATCCCTTTCTTCCTATCCCTTTCTTCCTATCCCTTTCTTCCTATCCCTTTCTTCCTATCCCTTTCTTCCTATCCCTACCCCGCTCGTCCTGTCACCTCCCCACTCTTCCTGTTTCGTCCCTCGTCCACTCTCCCATCTGCCTCCTCTTTGCCCTCACTTCCCTGAACTCATGGGGATTCGTTCTTGCTCTCCCCCGTGTCTCGTGCTCCACCCCCCCTTTCAAACGCCAACCACCCTATCTTCTACCCTCCATCCTCCCTCTAGCCCTGCCAAACCTCCTATCGCCCCTAACAGCTTCCCTCCTCCTTCCATGCACACTCAATCAATGTCCTCCTCACTCCACTCCTATCCTCCCTTCAATCCTAAGCCAGCATTTCCAAATTCTTTCTCCTTGTCCCCCCCCACCCCTTTACACCCCCCCCCAACCCATCCCCCAACCTCCCAACCCTTCCCAACCCCTCTCTTTTCAGAGCTCCGTTGCATGGACGGATGCTGAGAGGGCGCGTGAGCTGGTGCGCGTCGATTGGCCGTCGGCGAACGTGCTGACAAAGATGCTGGTCCACGTGGCAGAGGAGGTGTCATGGAAATGGGACATTCCGTACGAGTTCTCCCGAAGCAATGTTTTCTCCATTAAATGGGGAACTACCCGAGGGCCGGGAAGTACAGCTGTTGCTGCTGCTGCTGCCGCTGCTGCTGCTGGGGCTGCTTCTAGTGGTGGTGCTGCTGCTGCTGCTGCTGGTGCTGCTGGTGGCAGTGGTGTTAACGACCCTAAAAAGCAGGAGTGGGCGGAGGCGAATAAAGACCAACACCAACACCACGAGCACGACAAGTCGCACAAGCATCCAGCGGCAATGGCGTCCGCATGGGGGTTCCTCGGGAAATCGCAGGTGGGTAATCGGAAGGAGAAGCAGAGGGAAGGGAAGCAGGATGTGGGGAAGGGGAAGGAGAAGGTGAAGGAGGAGGGGAGGGAGGGTGGGAGAGACAGCTTCTTGGTGTCATGGAGTGCTTTGAGAAAACCTGCCACGGGACGGGGGGGAGGGGGAGGGGGAGGAGGAGGGGGGGTGGAGGAGGTAGGGGCTTCGGAGTAAGTGGGGGGAGAGGAGGGAGTGTAGGAGAGGGCCATGGTGACGGAATTTGCAAAGTTGGAAGTGGAGGAGGGAGAGCGGGAGCGGGCACAGAAGTGGGGGAAGTTGGTGCAGGGGGGTTGGGAGGAACGCAGGAGTCCGACCCTATCGTATCCTCGGACCCTATCGTCCCACCAGCTGGTTCACAGGTCGACAAACGGCACAAGGAGGGGCACGTGGGCTTGCACCCAGTGCCTAGATCGCAGCTTGTGCTCCTGCCAGCACTCCTGCAGCCATCTGCTGCTGCAGTATCAGTCCCAGGCAAGTCAACACCTTCAACCCCAGTCCAAGGAACAGCTTCGGTCCCAAGCAAGATGGCAGGTTCGGTCTCAGGCATGTACAAGCTGGGCGAATTGGGTGTGGATGCTGATAGGGAGAAGGCCAAGCATAAAAGGGAGGTCCTAGAGCATACAAAGAACCCAGTGGGGGTTGGGGAAAGGGGACTGAGGGAGGGGAGTGGGGAGAGAGGATTGCAGGAGGGGAGTGAGGAGAGGAAGAAGAACGGTTCTGCTGCTATTGAGAAGCGGAGACTATTGGACGACCTGCGTGCCGCTTATGCTGCTGCCACTGCTGGTAATGGTGGTGGGGAAGGTAGTTCTAGCAGCGGCGCTGCTGTGTCTGGAATCAGTACTGGGAGCGAGGGATCGAAAGGAGCAGTGGGGATTGAGGGAGAGGAGTTGTCACTCTACCTTCAGAAGCAGGCCGTAACAGCGTCCAAGAAAGAAAGAAAGGGGCCTTCTACTGTTGCTGCTTCTTCTGTGAAGGCTTCAAAGGTCAGAGATGCCGGGAAGGCCATGAGGAGGGAGGAGGAAGATGGCCTTTCATTGCATCACCGACAGGTTGATCAACTGCAGCAGCAGCAACAGCAGCAGCAGAGGGAGCAAGAGCAGCAGACGGCCAAGCCGAAGAAGCGCCAGGCATCAGAGCTCCACGGGTCAGGGAGCAATGGCATCAACTACCAAGCCACTGCAACCATTGCTGGCTGCTGCTCACCTGCTGCTCTTAAATCCCCTGCCAATCTCAAGTCTCGTACTGCTCTTATAACTCCTCATAAGTCTCCTGCTCCTCTTCCTGCATCGGTGGCACGGCCTTCTGCTGTTGATGCTGCTGCAAGGTTCTGCCCACTGGTGGTGCCACTCGCAGACGACAAGGATTACTCTCATCACCACACCCCCTTGCCAATGAACACGCCCACTCGACCCCTGCTGTCTCCAGTGCCTGCTGCAGCTGCTGCCAAACGAGTGGCAGGGTCTCACTCTGGGAGCAGTGGGAATGGGAAGCAGTCGGAGGTGTTAAGGGAATTGAATCGAAGCAGGGAGGTGGAGAGGGCCTGGTCAGCCTCTCCTGCCAAGAAAGCCAAAATCACTGAGAAGGTATGCATGACAGATCGGGCGTATTGTGTGTTTTGCAGGCAGTACTTGAGCGGTTCCTGACTATCATTGTTTCCATGCTGTGGCTTGGAGCAGGTACATGTGGCGGGCAGGCCTTCGGAAGGGGTAAAACCAACAGCCCATGTGCTTCTCAAGCAGAATAGGGAGCCGGTGGCAGCACCTACCAAGGCTTCGGGGAAGGGGAAGATGGTGAAACAGGCGACTTTGGCAGCTTTTCTGGGAAGAAGAAAGAGCAGCTGATGTAGAACTAGCAGCTCATGAAGCCATAGCACACTAGCCTCTTGTTCGTCAGTAGTGCTAGCAATCGATTTGATTCGCCACTGCACCGAACCGCCAGCTTTCAACTCCAACACCTGAATGCCTTGATCTTGATAACAGACTACAGACTACATTGATCTTGCAGGCTGTTGAAATGATGAAAAAACAGACTACACGTTGCAGACTGCACCTTCAGTTTCATCAGAACTCCACTGTGAACAAAGCTAGAAGATCCTTTCTACAGTAGATACATTCTTCAGGTATGCAACGATGGCTGTGACGTTGTCTTGACTCCCCCGATCTACTGCCTCTGTCACTAGGCGTTTGCTGCTCATTGAGGGCTCCTTTACAGTGTCTAGCACATACTGTGCCACCTCTTCATTGCTTAACTTCTCCCACAACCCATCACTCGCCATGACCTGCACAGTATCGGTTGTGAGGGAGGATGTGTGATCATGCATATTGTCGTGAAGTATGCATACACTTACTACGAAGGAAAACACGCACCAGCATGGGATGTCAGTGCTCACCAGGAACTCATCGTCTGCAGAAAGCTTGTGGTGCATAACTTCCGGTTCTGCTGTCACTGCAGGTTTCATGTCATGGTCTCCCAATGACCGTGTAACCTGCACAGAAAAGTGCATGGGGGAGGGCAGTAAAAGTTATCACATGTTGAGGGATGACATCCACAAATGCTGCCCCAGCTAAAGAAGCCAGGGACGGAACTCACTTCAATGCCAGCTACTCCCACGCGCCAAGTGTTGACTCGCCACTGCACCAAACCGCCAGCTTTCTCGGCTCGACTGCGCTCTTCTGGGTCACTGGCGACGTGATCCTGGAGGCAACGAGGGTGGCAGACGTTAGGACAAGGGCATTAACCCGAAATCTGAAACCTGGAACCCAATGAAATATGTTCCTGACATCACAATGCGAAACCGCACGATTACAGGGATGCACATGGGCAAGGTCATACCCGCGACAGTGCCTTCACTTGACCAGACTGCTTCAAAACAGCCCTGCAGTCGCCAGCGTTGGCAATATACATGTCGGCTCCAATCACAAGGGCCACGCATGCTGTGCACCCTGGATACCACCCCTTGCCACTGTCAGTCCGGGTCTTCCGCTGATTTCTCAGCTTTGATTCTAAGGCCTTGTCAGTCGCCAAGAATGATGCCACAAGAGCCTCAGGTGGACTGAGAAGCAAATACAGACAGATGAAGGGAGTAATTTAGCAAGAACAATAGATTGGGGAATGAAGGGTGTGGAAGTGGAGAGGAAACGGTGCATGCAGAATGAGAGGCCAAGAACTTGCGCACCAGGGACAATCGCACCTGAGATCGGACAGCTTGTCCATAACGATTTCAGGGAGGTTCTGTGCGCAGAATTCCGCAGCTTCATACCCTGTAAATTAATCCACGTGCGTTTTTCTCAGTCACTCAAATTAAAACCCAGCAGCCCACGAAAATGGGAAGAATCAGCAGCACATACCTCGATGACCATCAAAAACCCCAAACAAATGAATGGCAGAGGACCCGGCCAGGAAATCTTTCATGAAATGCCGGTCCTCCATCTTCTCTCTTGCTCCACTTGTTGCAAAAGACCCAATGGAAATCGCTGACGTGTGGGCTGCCGCCTGTGCGGCAAGGTTCACGACCTTGCTAGACAACACAGTTTCCTTGGAAGTCGTGAATGATTCTGGCAAAAATTCTTGCGACGCTCCTGGTTGGCTGTGGACTAAGCTCGGCTGTTGGGCGTGGACCATGGGAAGAGGCACACTGCCTGAAAGAATCCCCTCGATGCCATGGGCCACGTCAGACATCGAAGGCCGTATTTTCATGTCTGAATGCCAGCACTCTTCAATGAGGCTCCGCAGTTTCGCCATGGCCGGAGTGTTTCGACCAGGAAGATTTGGTCTGAGATTGAATGTGGTAATGGCTGCAGCCAGCTGCTGTTCAGAGTAGTCCATCTCCAAAACGGTGTGAGCCTGCACAGCATTGCACGTGGTGAGAGAGAAGAGAGTAATGTGTTTGACACTGTGCGCCACGGGTCACAATGTTCGTCATTCCAGAAAAAAATTGTTACCTGGACGTCTGTTGTACAGTCAGAGTAAGGGATGACCCCGGTGGCAAGCTCACTGGAAAAAGAGAATTGTAAGGAGCCAGAAATATAGTGGAATAACACGAAGAATGCTTCATCTACATAGTAAAAACGGCTAACAGTCTCACTTGAAAGTGATGCCGAAGCTATAAACATCTGACTTCAGGGTGTGAACATCCTTCTTGAGGATCTCAGGTGCCATGTATCTGCAAGTCAACAAGCGCAATCAACCATTGTGAAGGGTAATTCGATGCCCCTTAACTTTCCTGGACGATAGAACAATTGATGAGCTCACCTCAAAGTACCAACCATGTTCTTCTTGTGAAACCCCCCTGTTGGTTTCCCAGTTGATTGCCAATTTGCAGCAGAATGCTTCTGGAACTCGCTGGCGTGCGCTGCCAGACCAAAATCAGACAAAAATGCGTCGCCTGAATCATCAAGCTGCATCAATCACAACCACCTGTTAGGAAATGGCATTATATCGCCAGGAAACGTCAGCAGTAAGAGACAACAACATAGGCATACCAGAATGTTGGATGGTTTCACATCCCGGTGCACAACGCCCGACGAATGAATGTAAGCTAGTGCCTGAGCCGCCTGATAGCCTATGCGAAGGACATCCAGCAAAGATGGCTTCCACTGTTTCGTGTGAAGTGCTTCATGAAGGTTCCCTCCACGATAGAGGGTGAAAACCAGGAGATAGTCAGGAGGATAAGCTCGTGCAGCAAGTAGCGTGGCGATGTGGGGATGCTTGAGCGAGCTTCACACGGGAAGGACGGAAGCAATGACGCCGTGTGAGTCAGGATCACAAAGAGTAAACGCAACGGCAATTGCAAGTTCACTACCTAAGGAGCTTCAGCTCTTTGTGGAATCGATCCATATCTTCGGATGTTGACAATCGTGGCTTCTTCACAGCAACCGGCTGGTCCAAGAAAGACCCTTCATATACGCTGCTTTCGGGGCCTGCATTCCAAACCCAGTACGTCAGAGTGACCAAGCTTCATTTCCAAAGGGGCAACTTCATGGCGAGCTAAATAAAAGCTTACCCTTTGCAATCAGCGGTCCTGCCCTTATGTCTGCTTTAGGCACGTTCAGCTTTACTTCTGCGCTCACGCAACAGCCTCGTACACACCGAGTCTCTGGCTCACCAGTCGTTACCATCGTCTCGAACGGGACAGAAAAGGAGCACAACGGAAGGCAGAAGAGAATCGGGGAGTCTAAGTTGGTGATCAACCTCACATGGTTGTGAATTATGCCTTCTGCACATTGCGGTAAGTTAGTGCTGTAAACCAGAAATTGGCGGGGACAATTTGGCAGGGAGGGCTTACATCAGCAAAAGCACTTTGCCGAGGCAATCCCTGGGACGTCAGGCACAGGTCCAACAGCTGTAAATCTTCACTTCCACGAAGTGCGATTTCGGCAGAACTGCGCGCTGTATATATGATAAACATTGTGTCTTGTAACACGGAATGCTTGTTTCGAGTCTATCAGTTCACCAATCACAGATCAGACTCTCCAGAACCTCCACGTCAGCACTAGGGAAACAGATCTGTCGACGTGGATATCCTGGCCCCACACAACGATGATTCCAGTTCAGATGCATCCAGCGAATCACAGGACAGCTCCAAGCCGCATTACCCTTTTATAACGCTCTGCAACTTCCTAAACCGAATGTAAAGTCTCGCTAACATGCCCTTACCTTGGCCTGCTGCTAGTTTCACTGTCTGCCAAGTGCCCCAGTCTGGTGCACCTCCAATGTCCACCCAGCTCCCAGCATTGCCAATTTCTTCCCACCCCAAGAAACCACATTTCAAGAGATTCCAGCACATCCTGTAGGCATTTCTGATTCGATTCTCTTCTCTGTATGCGTGTGGTGCCTCCCTCCTCTCCGCTCCACGCCCGCTAGCTCTTGCTAGTTGTCCGCCAGTGCATCATAGCCTCGCAGCCTTGCCCAATATAATGGTCGTCGCCGCCATTTCTCCCCTAGTCGCGGTCACAGAAGCCTTCTCTTCCTCCTCCCTGCGCGTCTCTTCCACTTTCCGCCTCGTCTCCCCTTCCACCTCGGCTCTCCGCACCACCGCCACGTCCCCTCCGCGCGTCCCCTTCACGAATCCAGCCTCTTCCGCCGCTCCTTCCGCCGCTCGCCTCTCTGGTTCCGCGTTCCTCGGCGCAAAGCTCCCCGCGCGGTCCTCTACCGCAGATTCAGGGAGACGTCGGGTGGTTCGTGCTCGGGTGGTGACGGCGATGGCAGCAGCAGCGAAGATCTCGGAGCCGGTCGAAGTCCTCGTGAAGGCAGCCGCAGGATCGCCGGATAAGCTCGGAGATTGTAAGGGACCCTCTCGTGTTTGTTTTTACATTAGGGAGGTGTTGTGGACCGTCTCCCACCCTTCTCCCCTTATCTCGGAAGAAGGGTTGGCTTCTCTGTAAATTCTTTTCCGAATTTTCGTTTCCTTCTCTCCTCCGTCCACCTTCACCTTGTGGTCGTAGTGTCTACTCACGTTTGCCAGTCTTATGACTTTCCAACACACCTAACCTCGGCGTCCAGGGCGTTTTAAATTCCATAATTCTGCGCCTCGGGGTGCCATCTACGCACCCCTACGTCTTATGGACCATCTCCGCCTGCCCATCCCTGTGTCCCCGCCGCCAGGTCCCTTCTCCCAGCGCGTGCTGATCACTCTGGAGGAGAAGGCCCTGCCCTACACCTACCGCCTCGTCGACACGGCCAACAAGCCACAATGGTGCGCCGCCATGCACACGCCTTTCTCCCACCTTTCTCGCACCCGTCTCGCTCCCACTCCCACCCTTCCCCCGCACTCCATCAACCGTTTCTCCGCGCCCACTTCCGAAGCTCCTCGTTCAAACCGGCCCTGGCCGGCCCAGCGTGACCAACTCAAATCGCCTACCCTTCTCGCATCTCTCGCCCCTCCTCCCGCTCGTCTTCCACGTGTCACCCTCGCCGCCCGGATCCCTGATTCCGCCTTCATCGTTCCGCACCCTTCCTCCACCCCCTCCTCCTACCTCTCCACCTTCCCCCTCCCACCTGCCCCCTTCCACCGTCCCTCCTCCTCCACCTACCCGCTTCCCATAGCAGGTTCCTGGACGTGAATTCTGAGGGTAAGGTGCCGGTGGTCAAGACGAGCGACGGGTGGCTCGCTCTTTCCACCTCCATCCTTTTGGCCCCTCCCCCTACGCCCCTCCCCCTACGCCACGCCCCTCACCCCCTCCACCCCCTCCACCTACTCCCTAACCATGGCAGGTTCCTGGACGTGAATCCCGAGGGCAAGGTGCCGGTGGTCAAGACGAACGACGGGTGGCTCGCTGACTCTGACGCCATCACCGCGGCTCTCGACGCTGAATTCCCCCAGCCGCCCCTTGCCACGCCGGAAGACAAGCAGTCCGTGTGAGTGCTCGGGAGTTTGGTGAGAGAACTGAGGTGAATGAGGGACTGACGTGAATGAGGGGACTGAGGGGACTGAGGGGACTGAGGGGACTGAGGGGACCTGGAAGACACGGAAAGTGGTTGGGCTGGGATATGTCAGTGACAAAGGCACCAGGTGTAGAAGACGCTATGGCTTGAAGCCATGTCGATTTCTTTCTCCTCCCTTTTCATCCCTTAGCACAACACATTCCCTCCTCCCCGCACCCCACCCACGCACTCCCTTCCCCCTTCTCGCTTCCCCCTGTCTCCTGCACCAGCGGCGCGGGTCTGTTTGGCGCGTTTGTGAAGTTCCTCAAGAGCAAAGACGCCGCTGATGGCACGGAGCAGGCGCTGCTGGGAGAGCTCTCCGCGCTGGAGGGCGCCCTCAAGACCTCGGTCAGTGCTGTAGGCGGGGAGGGGAGAGGAAGGAGGAGACGGAGAGAAGGGGGGGATCGGTAAGGTGAGGTATGGCCGTATGGGGAAGCTCTCAGCTCCGGAGAGCGCACTCAAGTCCCCGGCCAGTGCCTGGGAGAGGGGGGAGACGGGAGAGGCATGCATGGGTCGGGCTCTGCTGGAGGGGGGTTCTTTCAGCGGAGAGCACACTGAAGACTGTGGACAGTGCTTGAGATGCGATAGGGGTTGGGAGGGTCCAGAATTGGGAGCGATGGGTCGGGAATGGGACGGGCGCGGGGTTATGGGATGGGAGTACAGGGTAGATGTGACGTGCTTGGGGAATTTCAACGCCATGTGCTCCTACCGCCAGCCACGCCCCTCTATCCCTCCTCTCCTCCTCCCCTAACAACCTCTCCTTGCTTCCCCGTCACTGCCTGTTTCAGTACCCCTCTCCCTGACGAATCCATTTCTGTGTTGGGCTCAGGGCGGTCCGTTTGTGGCGGGTGAGAGGGTGAAGGCAGTGGACATTGCCCTCTCGCCCAAGCTCTACCACATGCTCGGCACGCTGCCGCACTGCATACAAGCATCGCTGCCCCTGCCATTAATCTATCCCCCCTTTTTCCCAACCTCCCCGCTCCTCAGCTAATCTTGCCATCACCCACTTTCTTCACTGTCTGCGTCACTATTCCACCAGCATGTCGCCATGCCAGCTTCCATTATCATGACTTATATACCGTTTTCCATTCTCCATTTTCCATCATCATCCTCCATGCTGCTTCCCCTCAGGGCGGTCCGTTTGTGGCCGGGGAGAGGGTGACGGCAGTGGACATTGCCCTCTCGCCCAAGCTGTACCACATGACCGTCACGCTGCCGCACTACAAGAACTGGCACATCCCTGAGGAGTTCACACGCGTGCATGCATACATCAAGGTGCGTGTGCATGTGTGTGCATGCATACATCAAGGTGCGTGTGCATGTGTGTGCATGCATACATCAAGGTGCGTGTGCATGTGTGTGCATGCATACATCAAGGTGCGTGTGCATGTGTGTGCATGCATACATCAAGGTGCGTGTGCATGTGTGTGCATGCATACATCAAGGTGCGTGTGCATGTGTGTGCATGCATACATCAAGGTGCGTGTGCATGTGTGTGCATGCATACATCAAGGTGCGTGTGCATGTGTGTGCATGCATACATCAAGGTGCGTGTGCATGTGTGTGCATGCATACATCAAGGTGCGTGTGCATGTGTGTGCATGCATACATCAAGGTGCGTGTGCATGTGTGTGCATGCATACATCAAGGTGCGTGTGCATGTGTGTGCATGCATACATCAAGGTGCGTGTGCATGTGTGTGCATGCATACATCAAGGTGCGTGTGCATGTGTGTGCATGCATACATCAAGGTGCGTGTGCATGTGTGTGCATGCATACATCAAGGTGCGTGTGCATGTGTGTGCATGCATACATCAAGGTGCGTGTGCATGTGTGTGCATGCATACATCAAGGTGCGTGTGCATGTGTGTGCATGCATACATCAAGGTGCGTGTGCATGTGTGTGCATGCATACATCAAGGTGCGTGTGCATGTGTGTGCATGCATACATCAAGGTGCGTGTGCATGTGTGTGCATGCATACATCAAGGTGCGTGTGCATGTGTGTGCATGCATACATCAAGGTGCGTGTGCATGTGTGTGCATGCATACATCAAGGTGCGTGTGCATGTGTGTGCATGCATACATCAAGGTGCGTGTGCATGTGTGTGCATGCATACATCAAGGTGCGTGTGCATGTGTGTGCATGCATACATCAAGGTGCGTGTGCATGTGTGTGCATGCATACATCAAGGTGCGTGTGCATGTGTGTGCATGCATACATCAAGGTGCGTGTGCATGTGTGTGCATGCATACATCAAGGTGCGTGTGCATGTGTGTGCATGCATACATCAAGGTGCGTGTGCATGTGTGTGCATGCATACATCAAGGTGCGTGTGCATGTGTGTGCATGCATACATCAAGGTGCGTGTGCATGTGTGTGCATGCATACATCAAGGTGCGTGTGCATGTGTGTGCATGCATACATCAAGGTGCGTGTGCATGTGTGTGCATGCATACATCAAGGTGCGTGTGCATGTGTGTGCATGCATACATCAAGGTGCGTGTGCATGTGTGTGCATGCATACATCAAGGTGCGTGCGCATGTGTGTGCATGCATACATCAAGGTGCGTGTGCATGTGTGTGCATGCATACATCAAGGTGCGTGTGCATGTGTGTGCATGCATACATCAAGGTGCGTGTGCATGTGTGTGCATGCATACATCAAGGTGCGTGTGCATGTGTGTGCATGCATACATCAAGGTGCGTGCGCATGTGTGTGCATGCATACATCAAGGTGTGTGCGCATGTGTGTGCATGCATACATCAAGGTGTGTGGCAGCGCGAGTATGTGTGTGCATGCATACATCAAGGTGCGTGCGCATGTATACATCAAGGTGCGTGCGCATGTGTGTGCATGCATACATCAAGGTATGTGGCAGTGCAAGTATGTGTGTGCATGCATACATCAAGGTGTGTGGCAGCGCGAGTATGTGTGTGCATGCATACATCAAGGTGCGTGCGCATGTATACATCAAGGTGCGTGCGCATGTGTGTGCATGCATACATCAAGGTATGTGGCAGTGCAAGTATGTGTGTGCATGCATACATCAAGGTGCGTGCGCATGTGTGTGCATGCATACATCAAGGTATGTGGCAGTGCGAGTATGTGTGTGCATGCATACATCAAGGTGTGCGCGCATGTGTGTGCATGCATACATCAGGAGTTTGCCCATGTTTTCACACATCACTGTGCATGTTCATGCATTCAAATGCCCTGTCCTGCCCGGCACGGCCATGCATGTGCATGATCAAGTGTGTCTGCAAGCTTGCACAAACCTTGTAATGCCACGCTTTCCACAACCCCACTCAGTCTCTTTCCAATTAGCCTGGGCTTCTCTGACCTTATCCACCTTACCCCCACTCACCCCCTATCGAGCCTGGCTTCATGCTTCCTCATGTCATTCTTGCCTCCTCACTCATCTTCACACGTCCATGTGTCTATATCCATGTGCCTATATGGCCCGCAGGCACTGCACAGCAGGGAGAGCTTTAAGAAGACGGCAGCACCCCCGGAAGTGGTCATTGCAGGGTGGAACCGTGCTCTTGGCATCTCTGCCTGAACTGCTCTGCCTGTCTGGACTGGATCGCGAATACTACTAGTGGGGACATGATACCTGTGGTCTCTCTTGTTGTACGTGATGGTGCCTACAGACATAGTGAAACGGTAGTGAAAGGAGGTGTGCAGGTACTGCAACCTAGGTGCTGCTGTGAGCTGGTACTGTTACAACATTGCTAGCTAGTGGGGGGGGGGGTGGTTGTTCTGCTACGCTCTTATGAGCTTCTAGTAGACATGAATTGCTGTAATGAAATGGTATCTCCTAAACCCGGGTTTAGCTTCGTAAACAGTGCACCATAATAGGGTTGTTGCGCAATTCTGCCACACATTCGAACTGCGTTACCCCAACTGGCCCACATGATAGCCAGCTGCATGCAATTTGTGCGCTTTGCAAGGTCATGCCCGTTCTAGTGCGCTCCAGCCAGCCACACAAATTTATCCGCGTGCTTCGTGCCTAGCCCAATCATACGGTAGTACTGGTACAAGGGTTGTTTTGATATGGCCTAATGCATCATCTTCCTCCACACCAGTTAATAGCTGTTTTGTCAAATAACAATTGCCAACCACTTTCATCTAACGCATGTTGACTGGTCACCTTCTCTTACAAAGTGCAGCACCACCTATTACCCGTTGATGCTGGATATGTTTTGCACTATCAATTGCTGCCTGGAAACAGACCACCTTCCAGCTGATTGGTTCGTATTGTGATCACTACATGATTCCACATGTTGCATAATCCCGAAGCTTACATTATGTAGTAGAGCTTCTAGGTAATAATGTAGACAGAAGGGCACACCTAAAGTGAGGAGTACTGGTAAGTAAACCGCACGCCTTAGGGTGGCTGGCTAACTACTAGAAGCCATCCCTAGGCAATTGCTAGTGATGTAGAGCGAGTCTGTGTCAATAAGAGGTACAGGTCCAGCACACTCTGGAGTCTCTACGAGGGCGGCGGTAGCCCCTTAACAGCTAGCTGCAGGACAGCAAGGTGGGGACAACGAGGGAGGAAGAAGGGGAGGGGGGGAGGAGGGGGGATGAGGGGAGCCTCAATGGTCGCCAAAGGAAATATGATGTTGTAGAAACGCTGGTGCCCAACGCTCTCTGGAGCCTTTACGAGGGTGGTGGTAGCCCCTTGACAGCTAGCTGCAGGGCAGCGAGGGGGGATAACGAGGGAGTGGACGAGGGATGGAGGGGGAGAGGGGGGATGGGGGGGGAAGGAGCGGGCAAGGGGGGGTGTGAGGAGCTTCAACGGTTGAGAAAGGAGAGAATAGAGGGTGCGGCACGAAGCAGGGGCTGAGGTTTCACATTAGCACGCCATACGGTGGCTTCGTCTCATACTCCTCTCTCCGCCATTCCCGCCTTCGTGTGGCTCCCCCTATCCACTCCACGCACCAAGCTAAAGAAGATAGAAAAAAAACCAAATATACGAAGTCTCATCCAGTAATCCGATTGCAACACCGTTTTCGTAACCGATTTCGCTCACCCTCTGGTTATTCGCGAAGCAGTGCGAATACGAGCCCGACACGAAGTAGGTCGGGTTGACCGTGATCGCGGAGCTGAAGCACCCGTCACCGATGCCGTCCGTGGCGTTGCAGTATGCCACGTAGTTGTCGTACTTGCAGTTGACATAGTCGTTGTACGTGGGCACGATGTACACCTCGTCCATGTACGCCGCGTACTTAAACACTGGTAGCGAGGTCCCGGGAGGGAGGGAGGGAGGGCGGGAGAGCGGGAGAGCGGGAGAGCGGGAGGGAGGGAGAGCGGGAGAGAGGGAGAGCGGGAGAGAGTGAGAGAGGGAGAGGGAGAGAGGGAGAGAGGGAGAGAGGGAGAGAGGGAGAGAGGGAGAGAGGGAGAGAGGGAGAGAGGGAGAGAGGGAGAGAGGGAGAGAGGGAGAGAGGGAGAGAGGGAGAGAGGGAGAGAGGGAGAGAGGGAGAGAGGAGAGAGGGAGAGAGGGAGAGAGGGAGAGAGGGAGAGAGGGAGAGAGGGAGAGAGGGAGAGAGGGAGAGAGGGAGAGAGGGAGAGAGGGAGAGAGGGAGAGAGGGAGAGAGGGAGAGAGGGAGAGGAGGGAGAGGAGGGAGGGAATGGAGAGGGAGGGAGGCGGGAGAGTAGATGAAGGGTTCAGGCGATGTACACCACGTCGAGACACCCCGTCCATGTACGCCGTGTAACTGGCGGCGGAAGGAGAGCCAGGCGAGAGCGAGCAGAGGGGAAACGCGATGTGAATTTCTGAGCTCCACGTGTCTGAGCTCTACGTGTCTGTGTTGGAGAGAGAGCGCGTGTGCGAGTGCGAGAGAGAGGAGAACGGGGGAGGAGAAGGCGGGTGGAGGGGGAGCGCAGCAATTCCCCCGCATATCCCGGATCGCGGACCGAGCCAATTCCTGACCACGCACCGAGCTTATACCCCCGCCTACCACCAGAGGTTATCCCCAGCCTACCGAGCTTATCGTAGAAATTGGTGGACTGCATACAGAGAGAGGCAAGAAACGAGCGAGGGGAGCGGCGGAGGGCATTCCAACCACCAGTACGGAGCTTATCCCGCCGGTTGAGGGCGCATCCTTCTGGTACTGAGCTTAGAACCAAGCTTGCCCTCGACGTACCGAGCTTATCCCCCAAGTAGATCTTGGTGGACTGCATCGGGAGGGTGTAGTCCACCTGCGGGGATAGTCCCCAGCCACCCGGGCGAGATAGAGGCGAAGAACGAGCGAGGGGAGAGGCGGAGGGCATTCCAACCACCGGTCGGTGCGACGCACGCACAGAGCTAATACCCGACCACCCCCAACGTACCGAGCGTAACCCCAACATACCGAGCTTGTCGCCGACGTAGATCTTGGTGGACTGCATCCAGAGGTTGTAGTCCACCTGCGGGTTCCACGGCCACCCGAACGACGCCGTGGGCTTGCCCACCACGATGCTCCTCACCGTGTACGGCTTGTTCTTCACCTTGATCGCCACCTGCATCGTATTGCACCGCATTGGACCGCGTCGCACCGACCGGGGGGAGTTAAGGAAGCAACACGGAATAAAAGTCGAAAGTATGAAGGGTGGCAGCGTCGCGACGCAATGAGAGCAGATGGCGGGGAACAACGACGAGAGCGAGAGCAGCGCGCGCAGGGACTGGGATCGGAATGCACGCTCACCCACCCACTCACCCACCCACCCTCACACGCACGTTCCTGCACGTACTCCGCCCTTAACCCCCCGCGACCCCCCCCCACCCCCTTGCTCCGCGTGTGTACGCACCTTCTGGTTGCGCTGGCAACGGCCGAGCATGCCGGACGCGAAGTACATGGTGCCCTGCTGCGCCTTGACCTTGCACCCCCTGGCGCCGTCCCAGTTCTTGCACACGCGCACGGCGCGCGCGTAGTTGCAGAGCTCGTAGTCCGCCTGCCGGGGAAACTGGTACACCTCGTCCGTGCGCGTGGGGAAGTTGAACACTGCGGCGGAGATGCGACGCGGGGGGCGACGGGGGGAGAGACGGGGGGGGGGGGAGACGCGGGAGGGAGAGGGGAGAGCGTAAGCTCTTGAGGTGAGTCCAGGTTCGAGGAACGGGGGATGTAACGGAACGGGTCGCGTGGGCATGAAGAGCAATGCCCACAGAGGGAGAACGATTGAACGCGCCCGAAAGCGGCCGTATGAGGAGAACCCAGTGTGAAATCCTTACTGACGAGGGACACGCCGAGCATGGCGTCCGTCATCATACAACACGGCAAATCCCAGCAGAATGCCCGGTCAAAAAGCCTTGGAAGTCATACAACACATGATCTCAGACATACCGAGATAGTCGCCCGGGTAGACTTTCGTTGAAGCTGCCCAACTGCCGAGATTCGTCGCGGGGTTGAACTGGTAGCTGAACTCCCCGACATTATTACCCACGTTGATGTACCGCGGCGTGCCGGCCGCCTGCGTCGTCACCTGGCCGCCCGATTGAAGGGTCCCCGCCGGGGGAGCTTGCGACGGGACGAAGAGAGAGCGATCCTTCATTTCAGCGGAGACGGCACTAACGAGGATGAGCAGGACCGCGGAGGATAGTAAATAGCGGAATGCGGGGGTATAGCGTTTAATGGGCGGGCCCCGCGGGTGATCTATCGAGCGGGCCATTATCATGTGTCGGAGCGGAAGTGTTATGCTAGTTTCGGCGTATTCTTGATCGGAGGGCAGGCGTGTTGTTCCGAGCGGGCCGTTCGACGGGGAGCGTGGTCTCTGCTCGCACGAGAGTTTAACTAGACGTGTTTTATCCCAAGCACCTGGCTTACGCAACACGATTGCAGACGACAACCTTCAGATGACGCTAAAACTAAGAGCTTAATGAAGCAAGTCGAGGAGCCTCTAGCTGTCGTGGCAAAATCCTACCTCGCTTGCGGCTAGAGAGTGATGTTCTGCGTAGCGGTAGCTCGCGAAATTTGAGTGAGTCGGATGAAATGGGAAGAAAGCACAGATGATGGCCGAAGGAACCGTGGATGGATGAGGGGATGGATGAGCCGTGGGTGGCTACAGCTAAGCAACTTCCTTCCTCGGCTCACCCGCAACTTTTGGTGATGTGTCGCTGGGTCGAGTTGTGCCTCTGCGCGCCTGGCGACTATCGCGTCTATCGTAGCCTAGGTTCTAGAATGCATCACCGCGAGTGGTGGTGGTAAAACAGCACGTGCTGTAAGGGAAGGAGCGGAACAGCGGGGGGTGCTGGCTGGGAGGAGCGGAGCAGGGCAGAGGAGCCGTCGGGGGGTTCCGACAAAAAGGGGGAATGAATCTGTCCACTGTTTGTCAACTCAAGCACCAGCGCATTCACGGGACGCGACGCACGCCGGTTACGACGGTGATCGCGCCATCAAGCAAAATTGCTGAGGTCAGGCCACTGATGTCTGCTATCAGTGGCAGCTGCCTTTCAAGTGGAGAGTGAGCAAGCTGTGTCCCAGCGAGGGTGGCGCGGGAAAGTGTAGCCGTCCGTTGCGGGAGGTTTTAGCACCACCAACACGAAGCTCAGGCGGAGAAAACGGGCAAGGTGATGGGGTGCATGGGCTGGTTCGGTTCAGGTTTGGAGGGAATTGGTTTGGAAGGAAGTTGGTATGGGATGGGTGGGGAAGGGATTTTGATGGGTGCAAGAAGCGAATTAGCGGTGCCGCGTGAAGTTTGAGCTTTGTTGGGCAAAATTGATTCGATGCCATGCCGACTCGTCGACGAGCCGCATTGCTTCAACATTGGTGACTCGTGAGCTGACACTTTGAGCGCGCACCGGCGTTCCCGCGAGATCTGCCAAGACCTTGCTTCTGTGGCGCGTCTTTGTAGGTTTGGAATTTCCTGACCTCGCCTTGAAGCTCTAGTTTGTCCATCAAAATTATGCGCACTACACCTCTTGACCAGCAGCTTCCAGCCTCGGCAGGCAGTGATGGTATGAACAGAAAAGTGGCAGCTGATATATATCAACTGCAGCATAATAAGCTCAGTTACTCTGTACAGTCTTACCGCACACCATACTACACCGTTTAGTATGTTATGAGTTTTGTACAAAACATAATATATACTCATATGGACGATAATGATATTATTGACAGCAACATTACACGTGATAACCGAGGTCCATTATTTGTATCAATGATCTTACCCTGTTATGGCCTGACAGGAATTGCAGTTCTTCCATGCATGCAACATCAGTTCTCCCGCATTCACCTAACTCCAGACATCTTGCAGCCGTCCATGGAATATTACATGTCCAATGCACCAGTATGTGTTCTGCAGCCTGGTATATGACAGCATAACATTAGCATGAAATACTATTATCTCTAATACACAGATTATAACTGGCATGGCGCTCATTGTACCCTAGAGGCTAAGGGTTTTGTAGCTAAACTACTTGTCCAGTGCAGAGCTCACACATAAGCTCAGTCCGATTACTTATGCTCGAATAACCAATCAGTTTTACCCCCATTTTGCTGCCTAAGATGGTGGCTTCTGTGGAGTGATGACAATCTGCACAAGGGGCAGCAGAGCAGAGGTGAACAAGTGATTAACAAGGGTGCACTGAAGGGAGAGTGGAGGGGCATTGAGAAGTAACACAAGAAACGTCCACGGGATCAAGGCTTAGGGTGCATAAATGCACAAATGGGAAGGAGTGTACACTTACCCTCTGGTTGTCTTTCATGCAGTGGCTGAAGATGCCCGAAATGAAGTACGTGGTGGCTGTAATGGGGTTACTGTAACATCCAGCCCCTGCACCATCTGTAGAGTTACAGTAGGAAATGTAGTTCGAGTAGTCACAGTTCCTGTAGTCCGTCAGAGATGGCACGATGAAGACCTCGTCCTTGTAAGGAGGATACTTGAAAACTGCAAGGGGCAAAGTTGAGGGCACAGAGGGCAAGGGTGTTATGATCAACCCATGAGAAACCTGGCATGAGGGAGACACACAAACCGCAAACGTGCTATTTGCCATATTATTAAAGCACCAGAGAAGAGGAGAGAACGCAGAGACGGGATAGATTACTAACGCATGCCAAGCAAATAAACCATGAAACAAATGTGCTGTACACTCACCGACTGTATCGCCCGTGTACACCTTATTGTACTGCAGCCACTTATCGAACTGCCCGTTCGGGTTCCAGTTCCACTTGAACTGCTGCGACGGGTAACCCACCGCCAGGGTTCGCGGCGTGTAGGGTTTCGCATTCGCCTTGACCGCTACCTTCTGCCCCGCCAGGCAGTTCCCGTACAGCCCGGACGCGTAGTACGCCATCGTCCGCGTGACCTTAATCGCGCAGCCGGACTTGGAGCCCCAGCTGTCGTAGCAAACCACCTTCGCGGCGCGGAAGTTGCACGAGCGGTAGTCGCCGTAGCGCGCGAACTGGACTACCTCCTGGTGGTAGTTCGGATACTTGAACACTGCGGGATGGCGGCGACGGGGGATTGCGCAAAGAGGTTGCGTAAGTGGAAACTCGATGGGTTAAGGAGCGGCGTTGCCTGACATCGAACTGGACCACCTCCTGGTGGTAGTCCAGGTACTTGAACACTGCGGAACCAAGGGCGGACGGAGAGAGGGGGGGGGGGGTTGAACAGTGCACTTGGAGCCAGGGGGGGCGGGGAGGATTGAGCGATGCGATGGCGAAGGAGAACTACACGTGAGAGGAGCAATAGAGTAAGGGACGGGGGAGGGGAGAGCGCACATAATGGATTCAGTTAAGGACAGAATCCGGCAATAACCACACAGTGCCTATCCATCGCTCCGTAGCTTCTTTTCTCAAACCCAGCCCCCCCTTTCCCCCTCTCCCCCTTTCCCCCTTTTCCCCTTCCCCCCGCCCGCCCGCGCCCGGCCCCCCTGCCATTCCCACTCACGGATGACGTCGCCGTCGTAGAGCTTGCTCTTGGCGACCCAGCTGTTGTAGTTGACCTGCGGGTTGAACGGGTAGTTGTAGCTGGGCGTGGGGTTCCCCACCACGATCGACCGCCCCGACGCCTGGGTCGTCGCCAACCGCGGCACCACCGCGTTACCACCAGCGTTACTATCAGCGTTACCAGCGCCAGCGTTGGAAAGAGGGGCGACGGAAGGAGAGCCGGGAGGGGAGGGGAGAGGGACGGAGCTATCTTCAGTAGAGACGTTTCCGATGGGCCCGTGGGATAGAGTCCCCGCCAGTCTCACGCCGTTTGCCGCCGGTTCCGTGTGGTTTGCGGCCGGTCCCGCCTGGTTGACAGCTGCTTCCGCAAGCTTCTCAGCCGCTCCCTTCTCCTCTGCCGCCTGGGTCCCCGAGCCGTTCTCGCCGTCGGCCCCTTCGCCTGCCGTCGTTCCGTCGTTGACGACGTCGCCTACTACTGGCGGGTTGACGACCGCAGCAGCGTCGCCGGAATCGCCGTCGCCCGCTGCTGTATCGTCGATGATTGGCTCGACAACGAGCTGTGACAATAACGGGAGTTATCCACGCCGCGTGACCATCCAACGGGGAGAGGGGAGAGAGGGGGAGGCAGGGAAGGGAGTGAGACACCAGGGATACATACGAGATTCCGAAACATAGGAGGCTGGCAAGTGGGGTAGTATATGTGAAGCGATGGCGAGTATGATTTTGCGGCGCTTGCCCTTCAACTCTTCAACCTCTTCGCCCAGGTTGTTCCGCTTCTTCAGCCGCGCGCTTGTAAAAATATCCACTTATGAGCTCAACCGCTTCCGCATTGCGCATTCTCCTAGCCTCCGCCTTCCAATCCGTCAATTCACTATCCCCGTCACCGTCACCGTCACCGTTTTCCCCTCCGTCTCCGTCTGCATCTCCCTCCCGCAGTCGCACTCTCACCTGTTGTCCCTGCTGGCAGTGCGTCTTAATCGACGTGATGTACATGGGCCCAGATTCCACCGTCACCGCGCAAGCGCTCGCCGCGCCGTCCTTGCCGGGCCGGCTGCCGCGGAGGGAGTCGCAGAGCACCTGTGCGCCCTTGAGATGGCACGAGGTGAGATCCGTGGTGCTGCCCACCCGATAGACCACCTCGGCCCGCTTCGGATACTCGAACACTGATCAAGTAGGGATGTGCAGGTGAGCAGGAGTGGGGCGCGAGATAGGACGAAATCAAAGTGAGGATACCATCTTAACAGGTGTTGTTGGTAGGGAGGTATCGGGAGGGAAAGGGCGCTACATTTGCATATTGGTTTCGTGATTTCCACTAACTGGTCCTATACGCCTGATACTGCAGTGATAAGCCTTTACCAGAATGGGAAACTATGAGTGGCTGCTCTGTCAATAAAGGCGGAGCCACGAAATGCGGGCGTCACTAAACCAGTAGCCCGCGCGTAGAGGGGACAACCAGGAGCACGTAGACGCTCTACGAGATCCATACCGAGGATGTCGCCAGGCCGAAGGGGAGTTTCCGCAGCCCATTTCGTGTAGTTAACGGAGGGATTCCACCCGTAGCCGTACCCGCCCACGTCTGCCTCTCCCACTGTGACGATCCGTGCCGCAGCCCCTGCGACTATAGCTGCTAGGAGCACGCAGCGAAGGAGGCCCGGCCGGCTTATAAGATTCATGGCTGTCTTCACGGCTACTGGCTAGTGGGAGCGTTTAGCGAGCAGCGCGAGGCTGCAGGGAAGCAGATTATATGACTTAAAGAGAGAGGCGGTTGGTGGTTGCTTGGAAGACAGGTGTGTGTCGCGGTGGTTGCTTATTCGCGATAATTTTTTAATCGGACCGAGTATTGGTTAAGGGCTAACAAGCGTCCATCGAGGGAGCTGTGATGGGGATCGTAATGCGGGTGAAGGGCCTTCCGAGATTCTGCCTGTGATGTCTCTCGACTCGAGGTCCACAAAAGTCGTGAGTGGGTTGATTGATTTCCCTTGCTCGCTACTGCCGCTAGTGGAGTGACGATGACCCTTTCGGCCTTCCGCCCTTGGAAGCGCGAGATGGAGGTGCCGTTCCGCCCAAAAATGACATTCGCTGAATGTGATCCGATGGTCGGCCCAAGAACACGCGCGTGACTGGGCGGGGTATGGAGGGAGCGATGACAGCGCTTTCTGAGATACTGTACAATACAGCAACGCCAGCCCAAGTTCCTATCGGTAGTCAATCAGCCAGCTTGGAGGGAGAGTGGAGGGGGAATTCGGGGAGCGGGGGGGATCGGGATGAACGGACATCTCAGATTGCTGCATTCCACAATGCCTCTCTAACCGTAGCCGTGAGATGGAAAAGTCGAGACGCACGCGACAAGGGCTGTGAAATTTGTGTCCTCGCGGCTCGGCAGACTGCGATATGGGTTTCCCGCGCCTGGTGGTCCTGCGGTGACAGAGAGGGATGGCGGGTGGATGTGCTTCGTGTGATGCTAAACGACAAGGCTCCGCCTGGTTCGGCCTGTCAGCTTGAATTCTGGGCTTGGCGGAACAAATGGTGATGGTAAGTTGTGATATGATTAAAATCTACATGTATGGAGTTTATGATGAACACTAGTGCATGTGTTTTGAGTACCTGGTTTATCAACCAATGTTAACAAAGAGAATAGCAAGTTTGGGATGCTAAAAAGCAATTCACATGGTGTAACTGCTTTTTAGAAACATGTAACGCCGTTTTCCAAATGAGCCTATTCTATTTCACATATTTTTATGTGCTTTCCTGGCTGAGTGAAAAGAAATGATACTTCCTTATCAAAGGTTTTAGTTTGTAAGGCGAGCGCTGCTATAGCTGGGTTACTATGCAGCACTGCCACGAAATTCAAATCGCGCTACCCAAATGTGGCCTCCTTACAAGTCGCATGCATTTTGCCCGTCTTGTTGTTTCATGCATAGGTGTGGGCGCTTCCCGCCAATTTACGAACCACGCGTCACAGCTCTACCGAGCCACGACCGTGTGCTCTAGGCTAGCTATATCCATGCTCGCTTCTGTTTTGATGTTGTCGCAGTTGTATTGTTTGTTAAAAGGCTACCTGAATTAGGAAGGTAGGAAGCCGGCCATGGAAGTGGTGCAAGGGTTTAGGAGCTAGGAGAGTTAGAGTTGACGAGAGAAAAGAGGACTAGAAGAGGAGAGAGACATACAAGGAGGGGGGTTGTACCCTCTACAGTAGATTTCGATAAGCTACCAAGCCTACCAATTATATAACACTATATAATTTTAACACACCCCAGGCTTGGTAATCACACGCACCCACACCCCCTAACCTAGCACCCCCATTCCCAGCAGCAGCCACGACCACTTCAGCAAGGCCAACCCCACGGGCCAGTGAGTTGGCAACGGCGGCGGTGTCGACAGCGGCGACGTGCGGTTGCGTGGCCCCAACGCAAGCGGCGACAGCGGCGGCGGCGGCAGCTTCGAGGACGGCGGCGACTGCAGCAGCCCCCACCCTCTCGGCGGCGTGGCCAAACTCCATGACCGTGGGACGGCCGGCGGGGGACAGCCGTCGGCTGTGGCGAGGAACAGGACACAGGGGAGGGGGGGCGGTGCGTGGTCCAGCCTCACGCTTGAGGCTGGCGTGCAGGCGGCAGGTGTGGCGGCGACACGAACGTCGCGCGGCAGGATGCCGCCCGACGACGATGCCGCCGCAGTATTACGACGCCGCCACAGTGCGGCGTCGATGCAGCGGCGGGACGTCGACGCTGCGACGGCAGCACGACGCCGTCGCAGCGATGTGGCGTCGACGCCACGCGTCGGGGTTGCGACGGCAGCTTCACGACGCCACCATGGAAACACGGTAGGTACGGCATGGCCGCCACAGCGGCACGGTAGCAGACAGGAAATGAGCACGCGACGGAAGCGTGGAGAGCAGGCCCGGGAAAGGCGGCCTGCTCTGATAGCATGGTAAAATAGGAAAGCTAGGAGGTAGGAAAGGCTGCCATGAAAGTTGCGGCGGGGTTTAGATAGGAGAGAAGGAAGTGTCGAGAGAAATGAGAACTAGACAGAAGAGAGAGAGGCATACAAGGAGGGGGGTTGTACCCTCTACAGTAAAGTTCAGTAACCTACCAAGCCTACCAATTATAGAACAAAATATATAATTTAACACACCTCCTAGGCTTGGTAGTCACAAGCCCACACACACCCACACCCCCTAGCCTATCAACCCCGTTCTCAGCAGCAGCAGCGGCGGTTGTCAGCAGATCGACCTCTCCACGGGCGAGGCGGCGTCGTCAACTACGAGGGTGCGGTGGCGACGACGGCAGCGGCTGCAGTGACGATAGCAACGGCGGCGGTGGCGTACGGCAGCAAGGAAGGCCAACGGCAACAGCGGCGGCGGGTGGGGCTTCGACAACAGCAGCGACGGCGGCGGCGGCGCTCGCCCCACTCGGCGGCGTGGCCAGGCTCCGCGATGATGGGGTGGCCAGTGCGAGACACCCATCGGCTGCAGCGAGGAAGAGGGGACGCAGGGGAAAGGGGGGGGGGGGGGGGAGGGGGGGGAGGGGGGGGGGGGGGGCTTCAGCAGCGCGCCCGTGGTTGGCGTGCGTGCGTCAGGACTGGTGGCGGCTAAAACGCCGTGAGACCCGCCAAGCCTGCCGCCGCCCGTCGACGCCACCACTGTGGCATCACGATGTCGCCACAGCGCGGCATCGATCCCATGGCGGGACGTCGAGGCCGCGACGGCAGCACGACGCCGTCGCTGCAGTGTGACGTCGACGCCACGCGTCGGGGCTGCGACGGCCGCACCATGACGACGCGACGACACCTAGGCATGGCTTCGATGGTGGCACGAAGGTAGTTCACGGAGAGCGAGGAGTACGCAGCGGAAGCGTGGGGAGCAGGCCCGGGAGGGGCAACCTGCTCTAATACCATGTTAAAAGGCTACCTTAACTAGGAAGGTAGGAAGGCGGCCATGGAAATGGTGCAAGGGTTAAGGAGCTAGGAGAGTTAGAGTTGACGAGAGAAAGGAGGACTGGAAAAGAAGAGAGAGGCACACAAGGAGGGGGGTTGTACCCTCTACAGTAGAGTTCAATAAGCTACCAAGCCTACCAATTATATAACACAATATATAATTTTAACATTGTTTCCCCGTTACTCAATCCTTCAACACACGCTCTTTGCGCTTCATTACACCTGGCCATCAGTGCCAACAGTCACCAGCCTTGCGCTCTAGTTCCGCTGCAATAGTGACACTTATGGAGGCTGACGACCTACGCTTACTACAAATCCGCTGTCCTGGTTGATAGTTACCTACATCCACGACTGTGTTCGCAGTGCCAGCGTGTCATTAGTCGCCCAAAACTTTTGCGAAATGGTGGAGCCTTCGACGTCTAACGCCATGACTTCTGAAGAAAGGGCGGCAACACTTGAAGAAGTCTGTCTTACTCACTTGTTGTACAAGCAGAAGTTGGCGCATCTGCGAACTGAAACGTCCCAATCTGAGATATCTCCACTACGGCGAAGACCGCCTCAAACTTGATACAACACAATCCCACCAAAGACAAACTAAGGACAACAGGAGCAAGTAATCCAACAGCGTTATGAAATACCTGGCGACAAACAGCAAGAACATGCGATTTCGCCCGATAGTTCGACGAACAACTCGCCATCGGCTATTAGATGAGCGGAAGTTGGCGAAGGGACGAACGCAAATCTGCCGCCCCCAATTACCTCTCCGGCTAGACTGCAAACTGCGAGCATCAACATGGCGTTAGAAACTCTCGAGACGCAGAGACCGCTCATGTTCGACTTCAGAGCCTGTGTGACAGTTTGTCCGTCAGTGGAAGGATTTTCCTCTTGAACGTTATGTACAACTGCAACCTCGTCAGCGACGACGCGCAGAAAAACCGATATGCCATGTCGCTCCTACGTGGACCGGCTATGGATTGGTGGCAGTAGTCAATTTGGTCGCAGGAGTCGGATATGACGCCGTGCGTGATCGGGTGTTTCGCACGACCAATCACTGGGCAGAAAGTTATTGCGAGGTGGAAGAGAACAACACGTGGCAATCGTGGTGCGCGGGAATTCGTCGCCGCTTCGAACACGTCAATGCAAACAATCAAGCGTGTGACAGCCTTCGCACGTGGCGCCAATTTGGTTCGGTCTAGGACTATACCTTCAGCTTCAAGAATCCATGCGACTAGGTCGGCTACATTCACTCTGATGAGAATTTCGACAGATATATTGGAGGACTTTGACCAGTTATGCGCAGAGAAATACAAGTTAAAGAGCGGATTTGATGGAGTCACAGAGGATTGTGGAGCAGTTGGATTCGTCCTTGAAGCTAAGGGCGGGTTCCAAATGACGGAAGTCGCACTCGGGGGCCAATTGAGCATACCACTGTACACGCTGTTACAACGTCGTTGTTTCTTATATAACAAGCAGAGACACCGGAACAAAGGAGTGGAAGAAGTAGGATCAGGGGCAGGGGAGTTCCAACGACCAGGGAAACGCTTAATATCCATTGTTAACTGGCCTATTACTAATGGAACCTTCTCGCCCATGACCGAAAACCCTTATCGAGTACTTGTACCGACCCACGCAATCGACCAAACTCGATGTATTTAGAGGATAGGGTTCAAGGGGAACAAATTAGAATATTCAAGGACGGGGGAGCCAACCACTGTTTGATCAACCTCGATACGACCAAAAAAATAAAGTTACCCTCAGATCGGTGTCTGCCGGAGATTAATAAAAGAAAGACATGTTGCAGGCACGTTATTGGTTGTGACGCTTCAATCGGAAAATTGACTGGACCACTGGCAGCTGTTCCGTCAAAATCAATGGCCGAAGTGTGAAGTTACTAGAATGGTCGAAGGGGATCATAGGGGGATCAAACGAGCGGTCGCACGGGGCACAGAAGTCTTCGCTGTAGTTGTTCACTCGACGGGGCATCACAACCGTCCGATTTAGCACTTAGATTATTTGTTGGAGAAAATTTCCATCT